TCCAGCATAAACAGCCGCCATCCAAAGAAGGCAGGGAGGAAGGAGACCGGCTGGGGACCCCACACGCAAAATGTTGCCAGACCACCACCTACTCTAAGGCGACCAAGCAGGATCACTATGCTGAGGTTCAACCAAGTTCACAGGGGAGCACCTCAGTCTTTAAGCTGCCCTCACAATAGCTTGTAGTAAAGGCTGACGGCACCTGAGCCTGTGTACTTCCTGCCTGGATGCTGACTGGGAGAGAGTCTGTGTGAGGAACTCGCTGGAGACGCTCTCGCTCCAGAGCCACACCAGCGCCGCCATAGTTATGCTGACCCTCTGACCTCGCAGCAGGAAGAGGCTGTGCTGACCGCAGTCTTCTTCGCCTCACCCCTGTACCACAGAGCTTCTGAAACCTGCATTGCTCACACCTACTGTTCCTTGGCTTTGCCACTTGACTGGTCCATTCCCAGCTTCATCTTTTGTCCCTGTCTACCCCCAGCTTGGGCTCCAGGCCCAGCAGACTGGCTTGTTGTCGTGTGACTGTGCCTGTAGCCCTCTTCTGTGTACCTTGTCCCTCCCTGTAATGTGGCACTCATCTTCCCACCACACACAGTTACCGGAGGGCCGAGGCTCTGTCGTCTTCATCTTAGAGTCTCAGCGTCAACCAGACCAGGAAGCCCATAGCGCCATCTTCTCTCTACCTTTAAACGGGATTCCTCAATGTTACCTTGTTACCCTACAGGGAAGGAGACCTAGTAGGTGATACTTTCCATATTCTTGGACACCGCCATAATTCAAATGCATCGATTCTTCTCTGTTGTTGTTAGGTGCCGTCAAGTTGGTTCCAACTCTGACCCTAAAGCACAACAGACGAAACATTGCCTGGTCCCATGCCATCCTCCCAGTCTTTGTTACGTTTGAGCCCATTGCTGCTGCCATTGTGCCAGTCCATCTTGTTGGGGGTTTTCCTCTATTTCACTGACCCTCCACTTTACCAAGCGTGATGTCTTGTAGGGACTGGTCCCTCCTGACAATATGTCAGAAGTATGAGAGAAGTCAGCCATGCTGGCTTCTAAGGAATATTTTGGCTGTACTTCAAGTCCTCTTTGCCTTGAGCAAGCAAGGTTGTATAATCTTCATATCACAGGTCTAGCTCTGATTTTGATGCCACATTCTTTTTCATGTAATCCAGCTGTTTGGATTATTTGCTCAGCATGCAGATTGACTGGGTACGGCGAAGGCATCAACCCTGACGTACATCTTTCCTGATTTTAAACCATTCAGTATCCCCTTGTTCTGTTCGAATGACTGCCTCTTGGCCTGTGTACAGATTCCTCACGAGCACAGTTAGGTTTCTGGAATTCCCATTCTTTGCAATGTTATCCATAGTTTGTTATGATACGCACAATCAAATGCCTTTGCATAATCTGTAAAACGCAAGTAAACATGCTTCTAGTAATCTCTGATTTCAGCAAGATTATCTAACGTCAGCAGTGACGTACTCCTTTCACATCCTCTTTTGAATCTGGCTTGAATTTCTGGCAGCTTCCTGTTGATGTACCATGGCAGGTATTTTTGAATTATCTTCAGCAGAATTTTACTTGAATGTGATATTAATGGTATTGTTCAATGAGTTCTCCATTCTGTTGGGTCATCTGTGTTTGCAATGGGCACAAATATGTATCTCTTCTAATTGGTTAGCCAGGTACTTTTTCCAAATTTCTTGAGCACCTCCAGGGCTACATCAGTTTGCTGAAACATTACAATTTATACTCCATCAATTCCTGGAGCCTTGCTTTTCACCAGTGCCTTCAGTGCAGTTTAACTTCTTCCTTCCATAGTGGTGGTTTTTGATCATATGCTACCTCTTGAAATGGTTGTGTATCAACTAATTCTTTTTAGAACAGTGACTCTATTTATTCCTTCCATCTTCTTTGGTTCTTTCCTATGTCTCAACATCTTGTGCATTTGTTGGTTGTTGTTAGGTGCTGTTGAGTCGGTACCGGCCCACAGAGACCTTACGCAAAACAGAATGAAACACTGCCCGATCCTGGGCCAACCTCACTACTGTTGCCACTCTTGAGTCCATCGATGCTGCCACTTGGCCAAACCGTCTCATTGGAGGTCTTCCTCTTTTTCCTTAGATTAAGAATGGCCAATACCAGTCTGTTTCAGTTCACTAATGCCTAAGATCTTTATGCTTTCCATTTCATTTTTGATGACTTCTAATTTTCCTAGATTCCATACATTGTAATTCCACATTCCATGTATTTATTAATGGATGTTTGCATCTGCTTCTTATTTTCCATTGTGCCCCATCAGCACATTTGCTCCATTCACATTATTAAGGTCAACTCTGCTTTGAGGAGGCAGCTTTTCCTTAGTTGTATTTTGAGTACCTTCCAACTTGAGGGGCTCATCTTCAGGCACGGTATCAGGCAATATTCCGTTGGTATTCATAAGGTTTTCAGTGGATAACCTTTTAGAAGTGATCTGCCTCCTTTTCGTTTGAGTCTATTCTTAGTCTGCTAGCTCTGCTCAAGACTGTCTGCCATGTGTAACCCTACTGATATTGAACACCGACAGCATAGATTCCTGCATCATAGCAACACACTAGCTGCCACAGCACGACAAAATGACAGCCAAGTGAAGATACCTAAAAATTAGCCATTGAAAACCCATGGATAACGATAGACTATTGTCTGATAAAGTTCTGGAAAATGAACCCATGGTAAGCACTGGACTGTGAACCACAAAGTCAGCGGTTCAGACCCACCTTGGAACCCCTGTTATACAGGGTTGCTATGAGTTGGAACCGACTTGACAGCACTTAACAGCAACAGTGAACTCAGACACACCTGTGAACATGAAAATGGCGCAGAACCAGGTCGGAGAAAACGTGTTTTGTTTTATACTTGAGTGGAAACCAAACTCATGACAACAACTAACAATGAAAACAATAGGAATTTGTGCCCATGTTTAGGCAATATTGTGATAGCTTTTTGATTTAAAATGCACATCTTAATTGTATCGAGTCCTCCTTTTTTCCTCCCTCACTCTTAAACAGACATTGTTGAGTGTCTACTTCATACAACATGGATTGAAGGGACGTGGGATGAAACAGACATAGTCCTGTCTTCACACACATACTGCCTATGTAGAAGCCAGCATTGATCATGTACGTGTCCATGTATTTTACACTAAAGTGTGACAAGTCTATGAAGTTAGCATACAGGGACCGGGGCAGAGATACCAGAGAAATCTGCCTTTTGCAGGGAGAGGAGAGGGCCACACCAGGAAAGCCTTCAAGAAGTGACATTTAACATAACATAGTCCAGAAAGACAGTCTGCTTTGGTGAGTAGCTTCTGGGGTCTTTAAAAGCTCACACGAGTGGTTATCTGAAGTGCAACTATTGGTCTTCACCGTGCAGAGGAAACAAGACTGACGAGAATTGAAGATGCTTAGAATCAGCTAGCCCACTGGACTAAGCGAATTTGTGAACATCAGTCTCCAACTAGGTGGCGCCCGGCCTACCATGACCAACCCCTCTGAAAGGGATCACATTAGAAGATCCTGGATAGAGTAGCAGAAAATGTGGAACAAAACACAAAATTCTAAAAAAGAAAAAAAGACCTGGCTTACTGGTCAGAAAGAGACTGGAAGAACCCGAGACTGTCATCCTTGGTCACCCTTTGGGTCTGGAAGGGAGCTAACCCTGGTGGCCCAATTTGTAATCAGTAGATAAGCGTATGGGGGCACTAGTAAGGCATGCTCACCATGGGCCAGTCAGTCATTCAAGATCAGGAGGGCAAGGTTTCCCTAAGGACAAAGGTGAGACGGAATGGGAAGGAGGGTAGAGTGGAAATAGGAATCACAAGGAGGAAGTGGCATAACAGATGTTGCATGGAGGGGATTTCAGTCATTCAGATGTAACAATGCGCTTGATTCGTTGAGTAAAACTGATGGTTTTCTCTGTAAACCTTCACTCAATTCACAGTAAAAAGAAGTGATTATTGAGCTGAGGGAGGAGCTGAAGACAAGCAGACAATTTTCAGCATCAGTAACTCAGGACGCTTTGAATTACAAGACATGAAATTGCATTTGAATTAGCCTAAGTACCTGGGGTCTACTTTCACACACTGACATCTGAATGCTGTTGTGTGCGCACTCTGCCTCCAGCACTTCCGCCTGTGTGCGCTCTTGTCCAGGTGTCAGATGGATGATGGATGTCCTTTGTCTGTGATGACCAGAAACACTAACATCGCTTTTTAGCTTCCAAGCCTCTTTTAGCTGATCATCTTCTACATTTCACCATTGTGCCGCTCTATTCTATTTTGTATCAAACCAAGCTTTGCTTTCTGAGATGTCTACTAGATGCTGTCTCCAGGAAGTAAACAAACAAATGATGAGCTGTTATACGAAGCCTGTTGATCTGAATCCATTGAGATTCAGGCAATTCTACAAAGTTTATTCTTCGGCACAGTGGTTTGTTTATGGGGAGCAGTCGTGTTCCCAGGTACAATGAGTGTAAGTGGATTTTCCTTTTGGGGATTAAAGTGCTTTGTACACATGATTTTATTTAACCATCATCATAAACCATCTCCTAAGGTAGGTATTGCTTAGTCTGATTTTTCAGATGATGAGACTGAGGTTTAAAAAGGTTCTTCTTTTGCCCCAGTCCCCATGGGGCGTCTTGTCATAACTGATACTTAAGCCTCCATCTCTCTTATTAGCTGGTCATTTTGATCATTCATTTGAGTTCTTTTCCTATGATCTCATTAATTGTCACAGCCCATCACAGACTCTGAAGTTGATGCACCTAGACGCAGGTCCCTTCTGGAGGTCACAATTTGTGGGTGATTTATAATGTGAATCTAGAATCGTTTGTCTCTGAAGTCCAGGCTATGAAGTGGTTTTTAGTTGTGTATCTGCTTCTGGACAGACTCCTTCCTAGCTTCCTTCTAATATGTAGGGACGTACAAGGGATGGTATCTTAAATGTTTCTTGCCTTTTCCAGATTGCCGCTGTACCTGGTGTCCCTCTTCATCAGCCTGGTGTTCCTGCTGGTGAATCTGGCCTGTGCAGTGCTGGTGAAGTCAGGGACCGGGGAGAGGAAGGTCATCGTCTCAGTGCGTGTGGCCATCAACGACACGCTCTTCGTGTTGTGTGCCGTTTCTCTCTCCCTCTGTCTCTACAAAATTTCCAAGATGTCCTTAGCCAACATCTACCTGGAGTCTAAGGTAGGGTGGAACCGTGATCCCGCTCCCTTCATTCAAACTTGTCCTAAATGTGGTTTTCTGGTATGAAAAGGGAACCAACCGCCTTCATGGACCGGTCGCAGTGTGGCTGTGAGCTACGACACAAGGATGCAGTTTATAGAACTCTGGAAGCCAGAAGGGTGAAGGACCCTCCAGATTCCGTGAAGTGTACTGCTGTGTGCTGGATTAGTGCAGAGTTAAACCTCTACTCTATCTATACAGCCATTTAACCTACATTAAAAAGTGCTAATAGAATTGATTGTACCAGTAGCTTGAAGAGCAAACACATATTTAATGTCTTCTATGTTTCAGGCACTTTGATATAAGCGCTTTGCATGTATAAATGTATTTAATCACCGCAGCCCTGAAGGAGTAGGTGGTGTTACTACACCCACTTTTTAGGTAAGGTCAGGTTGCCTGCTCGTGGACGGCACATGCTGGTATGTGGAGAGTAGACAGGCAGCTCCGGGGCCTGTCACCTTTGCCACCTCATTGTGTTGCTGCAGGGACGCAGGCTCTGCTCACGGAGGCAGCGTTCTGATTGTGTGGATTCCATTTACAGACACGTGTGATGCCTGGCCGTTTCTCACATCCTAGGAGTAAAGAAGGGCAAAGGTGTTACCTGGAACGGGTATCAAAGTGTTTCTCACCAGCCTGGTACCCCCATTGTTCCTTCATCCACAAATTTCAAACCTGAGCCCAGAGAAGTAGTGAGACCCTGAGGTGAGGGGAGGGCATGGGAGTCTGGGAGCCGATGCCCTGGCTTCTCGTGGGCTTTGTGCCCGTCTCTGGCTGAGTGCTGTATCTGATCCTCTGCTCCGAAAGTGACTGTGTCCTGCAGTCCGTCTGTGGTGTGAAGATAATGAGGCAGTTCGACCGCCCACTGTAGTGTGTCATTGGTGGGGGTCTGTAGATTAAAATTGTACCTCAAACAGCACAGTACAGAACTTCAGTGGGTCAGCTTGAACGCCCACTGTAGTGTGTCACTGGCGAGGTCTATAGATTAAAACTGTGCCTCAAATGTCAAAGTACAGAACTTCAGCAGGGCACCCCAGATTTATAGTGTGAATCCAAGACCCCTAAACTTAGCGGGCAGACTGCTTTTCTCGTTTATAAATCTAGAAAGCTTTTAGACTGGATTTACCATAACCTTTCTTCATTATATTGTCTCCCATATGCTGTTGTTGTTGTTACATGCCATTGAATTGTTCCAGCTCATAGCAGCCTTGGTACGAAGTTTCTAGGTAGCTGCTGGTAGGTTTGAACCATCAACCTTGCAGTTAGCTGTCTTGTGTGTATCCTTCCAGGACTCCATCTCCCATATGGGGCTGGGAGTGTGCCACCAACTCGGTTCAGACTCACAGGGGCCCTGTATAGGGTTTCTGAGCCTCTCGATCTTTACTGGATCAGAAAGCCTCATCTTTCTCCCCCACAGCGGCTGGCAGTTTTGAACCTCTGACCTTGTAGTTAGCAGCCTGACTCCATAACCCAGTGTGCTCCCAGGGTTCCTTATATGGTAGTGGCTAAGTACCATTGGATGTGTTCCACTCATAACGACTCTATATAGCATTTCTGAGGAGCGGCTAGTGGGTTTGAACTGCTGACATTGCAGTTCAAACCAAGCTTGTGGTCCAGTGCTATAGGGGTTATAAAAGCTTTAAAAAAGGATAACTGTGGTTTTAACAGGAAGAGTTAAGTTGTAGATTGTTAATATAATGTGTTTAGATCACATATATGGCAAACAAGATAATTGGCCAGTACTGATAAAATAATATCTTAGATTTAGTTAATGAGTTCTATATGTAAAACTCAAAAAATAAGTTTTAGGTTTTGGTTACAGTATCTATTTCCAGCCAGTGGTCTTTAACTGACTTTAGAAATGAGTAGCTTCATAAATTGTGGCAGAAATTACTGATGGCCAAGGACTTCCAAGCCATGATCCGAGTCATTTGCTGTTGAGTGGATTCTGACTCCAGGTACTTTCATGTGTGTCAGACTACAAGGTGCCTCTGGGTGGACTTGTCCCTCTTACCTTCCGGTTAGCACTCACATCAATGTTCCTAGGCCTCCAGACTAGAAAACTGGGGCCTCTGACAAGTGCTGGCTGCCCAGAGCCCTGCTCAGCTCTCCCGACTGCCCTCCCCTCTGCAGTTGTCTGCCTGGTGCGTGGTGCCTTCAGCCAGAGGCCTGAGCACGTGGCTCGTTTGCTATGACTACAAGCTGAAGGGCTCTCCTCTGAGCTGAGCAGTGACAGCTAGACATTTCAGAAATAGGAAGCAAAAAGCTATCCTCCTTCTTGTTCTTAGTCTAGGCCTTGGTCAAATGGCCATCTGTCAACCCAGTCTCCAGGTTTTGAAGTATCTATATAACCGGACTGATAACCACAAAGTTGGTGGTTCAAACCCACCAGCCGCTCCTCAGAAATCCTTACAGGGTCGCTATGAGTCAGAATTGACTTGACGGCACTTCACAACAGCAACATATGAGGATGCTACGAGGTGAGGTTTGGGGAGGAGTTAAGGTAGACACAGCTCTGACTGAATGTCACACAAGACTGCAGGGACTGAGACCCCTGGGGGGTTACCACGTCCAGTACACGGGCGGAATCTGGATGAGGCTGTGTGGCCCCCCGCATAGATGCTCCCCTCTTTATCTTTCTGTTCCAGGGCTCCTCCGTGTGTCAAGTCACAACCATTGGGGTGACAGTCATCTTGCTGTGTGCATCGCGAGCCTGCTACAACCTCTTCATCTTGTCATTTTCTCAGAGCAAGAGCGTCCATTCGTTTGACTATGACTGGTACAATGTATCAGACCAGGTCGGTGGGCACAGGGGCGGTATTATCTGTGCAGTGACAGCTGGCTTTACAGCATCTCGTTAGCACACATGCGCCGGCTTGTTTCTGCTGTGGAACACTGACCTTTGAGGGGATCCGAGAGCCTGCCTTACCTGCTTCACCTGCCTTACGTGCTTCACCTGCCATGCTGTCTAAGAAACTAGGAGATACACACCCCGCTGGTGTTATTTACACACCACACAGATACCAGACACACACACACACACACACATGCACGCTTCTCTTCCACTCTCGGAAGCGCTTCTCAAGGAGTATTGAAAAACGATTAAATTGCTTTCATATAAATGTAAGATTTTTATTAAGCAGTGAAATTTGCAAAGATAAAGACCATTGGGGCTTCAGAAATACATGCAACGGTGCAGTTCCAGGGAGCGTGGTGGTTCCGTAAGATAAGCACTGGACTGTGAACCGTAAGGTCTGCGGTTCAAACCCGCCAGCCACTCTAGGAGAAAGATGAGGCTTTCTGCTCCTGCAAACATTTAAAAGCCTTGGAAACCCTACACAGGATCACTGTGAGTCGGAAGCAGCTCCTCCACACTTAACAGCAACAACACAGTGCAGTTCTGAGAATTTTTTTCTCTACTATATGCACACTAATTGCATTTGACTAATCTGACTGAAAGTGACTGAAGATCCTTGGATTTAAATAAAAGCTCATTTCACCAGCAGGTCTCAAAATGGGACTTTAAAAAAAAAAATGTATTCAGTAACTTCATAGGACACTGTTTTCCCAAAATGTATGGTAGAATTTGCCAGCAGAGCCTCCTGGGCCCTGGAATTTTCTTTGTGGATAATCTCTAGAAAATCAAGTGTGAACTACAGAAATAATTTCTGTTATATCTAAAAGTTACTTTATAAGGAAAATGAATAAATGTAGCACAGCTTCATTGACTACTGTGTTTATAAAAGCTCACATACAAGGTGCTATGATCAGGAAATGAACAGACATATTCTCTACTCTGAAGGAATTTATGGCCTATTGCAGGGGAAAAGACACAAATAAGCGAAAGCTGGATAGTGAATAAGGAAGATCGTAGAAGAGTTGATGCCTTTGAGTCGTGGTGTTGGAGGAGAATACTGAAAGTGCCATGGACAGCCAAAAGAACCAATAAATCTGTTTTGGAAGAAGTGTTACCAGAGTGCTCCTGGGAGACCAAGATGGCTAAGCTTCGTCTCTCCTACTTTGGACACATTGTCCGGAGAGAACAGTCACTGGAGATGGATGTCATGTTTGGTAAGGTGGAGGGTCAGAGAAAAAGAAGAAGATCCCAAATGAGATGGATTGGCCAGGTGGCATCATTGATGGACTCAAGTGTGGCAGCGGTAGTGAGGTTGGCCCAGGATTGGACATTGTTTCGTTCTGTTGTGCATGGGGTCGCTATGAGTCGGCTCCAACTCTATGACACCTGACGACAACAACAACAAGCCGTTACAATAAAGAAATAGGACTTCTGTGATAGGGCCCATTGGCCTAAATTGCAAGGGTTCCTTAGGTTTCTCTGGAAAAATGCCAAGTATTCAGCTACAAGGGAACATCAAAAAGTCTATGGGAAAATGAAATTTAAAAAATAGTTCAGTGTTTCCTGAAATTTTTGAAGCCTCCTTGCATATACAAATCCACTTCTAAACTCCCAATATTGCTCATGTACAGGTTGAATTAAGTCTCCAGAAGAAAGAATACTTTAAAAATGATCATAAGTTAAAACTAGGAAGACAAGAGGAATTTTAGAAGGTATGGACAAGGTATTAGAAAGAATTAGAGCTACCACCCCTAACCCAAACCAGTACCCCAAATATGCTGTTAGGTGCCATCGAGTCGGTGCCAACTCATAGCAAACTTAGGCACAACAGAACGGAACACTGCCCGATCCTGGACCAACCTCACCACTGTTGCCATGCTTGAGCCCACTGATGCTGCCACTTTGCCAATTCATGTTGCTGCGGGGTGGGGTCTTCCTCTTTTTCTCTGACCCTCCACCTTACCAAACATGATATCCTCCTTCAGCGACTGGTATAGGATGGGAGAAAGTTGGGCATGATGCTGTTAAAGATCAGTATTGTTTTGAGATACTAAAGTATACTAAAATATAAGTTTCAACAATGATACATCAGAGTCATTAGTAATGCAAAGATTTAGCTTTAAGCAAAGTAATTATTTCAATTTTCCTTTCAGTGAAGTTTTAATTATAGTAATAATTCAGAATGTGAATGTTGTTATGAAGTGCCGTTGAGTCAGTTCTGACTCATAGCGACTGTGTGTAGGATTTCTGAAGAGTAACTGGTGAGTTTGAACCATGGACTTCACGGTTCATACTGACCTTGCAGTCCAATGCTTACGCTATAGCGCCATACCAGAACTCCCTTTGTAAATTCTCTTGTTTTTAGGGGATATGTATTTATAAAGAAAGACCTGTATGGTGCAGACAAAATAATCCAGGATCCAGCAAAATGAATGACCACAAGTTACATGAATTCATGCAAAACAGAGAAGAAACCACATACTGTTGTTAAGTGCCTTCAGTTGAGTTGGTTCCGACCCATAGCGAACCTGTATAAGGTTTCCAAGGAATGTTAGTGAGCTTGAACCGCTGGCTTCGCAGTTCAAACCAACTCTGTGGTGCAGCGCATTAACCTGCAGTGCCACCCCACAACTCCATCCTATTGAGAAGTGTACAGATGGAATATGAGATGCAGAGACCCTGAAGAGAAGCGTGGCTCGTTTTGGCTGTGCTGGAGGAGACAAAAGTATTAAAGACTTTAGGTGATTGGACTTTAAGGCTTGCTTTTGGTGCGTTCTGTCTTTGAAATGATGGTCTCTGTGCTACAGCTGCCCTAACTCCAAGAACGTTGTACTTCCTTTGAGTTCTGCTACCTGCTGTGCAGGAGAACCTTGTATCAACCCTTTTGGGCCATTTCACTAGTCCAGAATCCAAACTTCTCGGACTCTGAGAATTCTTCCTTAGGAAAGCTAGCCTGCAATGAAACTTCCAAAGGTAAATCATTGGATATGGGCCGTGTGAAGAAAAGTCTAAAAATGGACATGTTTGCCCTTGGATGATGCTTCTTGTTGTGGTTATGGGCCGTCAAATTGGTTCCAGTCATATCAACATGATGTAGGGTTTTGAGGAGCTGTGCTTCTAAGGGTAAAGATTTTATGTTGCTCTCCAGAATTTAGAAGGACGCAATGAAACAGTCTCATTATTTGTAGATTTTTGAAGGAAAGAAAATCAGATTAAATTGAAGCGAGAGATTTCACTTGGAGTGTGGCGCTGTGGGTTAATGCGCCAGACTGCAAAGCCATTTGAACTGCAGGGTCGGTGGTTCAAGCTCACCAATTGCTCCTCGGAAACCCTATACAGGGTTGCTATGGGTCAGCATCTACTCAACGGCATTTAAGAACAACAACATAAAGGGAGATATTTTGAGGTGAAGTAGCAAAATATCAGGTTGGAAGTTTTTTCGCTTATTTTGAAGGCTATCTGTGGTTTAAATAACCTTCCCCTAAGATCTGGACCATTACTGTTATCTGACTTCAGTGTGCATATTTTAGGAGAGAAGGAATGACATGGTATTACAACTTTTCTTTGTTCACATAAAATAGAATCACATCAAACAGACTTCTCTGCCCTTGGCCTACTGACTCCCCAATTCTTCCTTCTCTTGTCCACAGGCAGATCTGAAGAACCAGTTGGGAGATGCCGGCTATGTTGTGTTTGGAGTGGTCCTGTTTGTGTGGGAACTTTTACCTACTACCTTAGTTGTTTATTTCTTCCGAGTTAGAACTCCTACAAAAGACCCTGTAAGTACAGCCACTGATATTTGCAGGAAAATCCTTCCTAATTCTAATCCAAGTCCTGGTGTGGCGCTGTGGGTTAATGTGCTGCTGGAACTGCACAGTTGGCTTGAACCGCGACGTTGGTGCTTCAAGCTCACCAGCTTCTCAGAAAACCTATACAGGGCTGCTACGGGCTAGAACCGACTTGACATCATTTAACGGCAGCAACAGCAGTTTTAATCATGGGATATATACAATTAGAATTTATTTTAGCTTAACAACAGAGAAGGTCTCTTCTAGCCAATTATATAAAAAGCTCCTTGTTTTATTTTATGAAGACAGTTCTATTCCCTTAATTGTCTTTGGGTAAAATGGGTTGATTGGTTGGTTGGTTTTCCTGGTGTACTTGCATATTTGAACTGCCTCCCTAATGCCACACAGCTTCCAGCATATTGAAACCAAGTAAGCCAAGGAAGGAGTCACAAAGGCAGGGCTCAAATTTTCAGGTGTGGGTGGTAAGGAAATCACAGATTGAAACGTTTTTAAATATGCCGGTAAGTCTGAAAGCTTGCAACTAGGGATGCAGTTCATACATACCAGGTTAATTCTCAACAGAATGTCTCTAAACATGTGTCTGCAATCAGCAGATGGCGGCAGACAGGTTCTCCCAGTAACCTCTTCGTTGTATCTTAGTCTCGTTACGGTGCCTTCACCAACTGGGATCTATCGAAATAGTGGCTCCTGCCGGAATCTCCTGGGTCAGCTCAATTCAAGGCTCCAAAGGTTATGGTGATGGGTTTTTTAAATTCTAAACGGGTAACCTTGATAGACTGTCTCAAAGGACATTGAGACAGGACACTGGATGATCAGAGGGACTTAGAAGGAAGTTTTAAGAAAATTTAGTGGCATAAATACACCATCAAACAGGACTGGGAACACACAAACTGAAGACAAAATACATGACTGGGACCACCTAGAAATTAGACACTTAATGTGCACCAAAGGGTTTCACCGAAAGAGTGAAAAGAGAGCCACAGACTAGGAAAAAAGTTTTGGCCGTGACATATCAGATAAGTGACTACTCCTCAAAATTTATCAGACACTTTAGAATACCTCAGCAAGATGACAAGTATTCCATTGGGCAAACAACAGGCAGAGGACATGAACAGACACTTCACCAAAGAAGACATTCAGGCGGCCAAACAAACGTGAAGAAATGCTCAACAATCATCAGCCGCTAGAGAGATGGAAAAAAAGAAAAAAAACAACAACCAGAAAACAAATGCTGGCAAGGACGTGGAGAGATGGGGATCCTCCTACACTGCTAATGGGACTGTCAAATGGAGCAACCTCTGTGGAAAATGGCATGGTGCCTTCTCAGGACCGTTTTGCTGTAAGTTGCTGTAAGTGCTGTTGAGTCGGTTTTGACGCACGGCGACCCTGTGTAGCATTTCTGAAGAGTGGGTTGTGAGTTTGAACTGCCAACCTTGTGGTCTAGTGTTTGTAGTCTAGCACCACTTCCTTGGTCTAGATCCTCAATAAGTAGGAGCCGTGATGCAGATGGATCCATGCACACCCATGTTCATTGCAACACTAATCACAACAGCAAAAAGATGGAGACCGTTTAAATCCCCATCAACAGAAGAATATTTAAACAAACTTTGGTCCATACACAGTGGAATATTACACAGCACTGAAAAATAACGATGAAACTGCAAAACCCCTCCCAACATGGATTAACCTGGAGGACCTTATATTGAGTGAAATTAGTCAGTCATAAAAGGACAAATAGCGTATGCAACTACTGTTGAGAAAAGAAAGGGTTTTCTTGCTAAAAGAAACATTCTCTAAGCAGGGGTGAGAGGGAAGGGAAAATTATTCATGGGGTGGTAGAAAGTAGACATGTGTTAATTTGGGTGATGGGGAGGATAATATACAAGAGGGAGGTTGGCAGAGGGAAGATACAGAGAGATACAGGGAAGAGTTAAAGTGAATAGAGGTAAACACAAGGGATTTCAATCATTGTATAAAAACGAAGCATATGATTTATTGAATGTAAACTGATGCTCTGCTTTGTAAACCTTCATTCATTTCACAACAGAAAGCTTAAAAAAAAAAAAAAAAAAAGTAAAGACTGCTTTGGTGAGAAAAAAGGTCAGGAGAGTTGTGTCAAGGAATTTTTTATCACCACAACATTGCACCTGCGTAAGCACTGTCCTCCAAGTGTTTTCTTGGGAAACCTCATCCCATCTACCCTGTAACTCTGATCTTGCCCCTTCAGACTTCTTCTTGCTCCCCAAACTCAAAGAACATTTCAGAGGAACACTGTATGTGTCCCCTGAGGAGGGCAAAACTGCCTCTTTGATGTGCACATCAGCGAGTGCAGAATTCTTTGAGGTGGGGAAAGGGCTGGAGATCTGGCAGCACCACCTTCCAAAGTTTCCACAGATCCAGATGGAGGTTATGTCGAGAAACAACAGCTTCACATTTGGTTATTTTTGTTTCATAAAGATTTCTGGGATTTTATAGCAATACTTTTTACTTACCCTTGTGATTCACAATTCCTGTAGCCACATGTACCTCGTTGTTTTGCTGGTTTTATCCTGTTAGTACTACTGTGGTAGTGAAGAACATAGTAACTGTCCCTAGAATCGATAATCACTGTTTTGCTTTGTGCTAAGGCACCAGCATGGTGTCCTGGTATGGCACTGTAGGGTCAGCACTGGACTGGTAATCGCAAGGTTGGCGGTTCAAGCTCACCAGCTGCTCCTTGGAAACCCTGTGCAGGGTCACTGTAAGTCAGAACCAACTTGATGGCTCAACACCAACAAGGCACGTTTTAATTCATTACTGTGTGTGCACCATTAGTGCAAGTATCCACACGATGTTAAAAGCAGATAATGTCCTTGTGTGATTATAAAATAGGCCCAAGTACCACATTTGAGAACCCTCGGTCTACTATAGCATCTTAGTGAATCAAAATGCATCTCATTGCCTTCAAACCCATGCTCTCCTAGTTTACCACGGGGAGTGAATTCAGTATGAAGTATTGGTCATTATAAAGAGAAAAACATTTTCCCTTTTTTCTGGCGCACTCAAGAAGTAACTTCTACACTCTCATTTGCAAGCAATTAAAATAGACAAATTTGGCTTTTCTGCACTAGTGTACATACAGCATCCTTGGGCAAGACCACCAGAGTTCATGCCATTGTTACATGTGGAATTTAGTAATAATAGCTATCAGTTATGCAACAGTACTGCCAGAAATTCATGGGAAAAAATCCATTATCTTTTCATTCCATTTTTCCATGAACTTTTTCAAGCCATTCCTATAAATGGAAAAAAGATTGAAATTGTCAAGGATTTCATTTTTCTTGGATCAACCGTCAACACTCATGGAAGCAGCAGTCAAGAAATCAAATGACGTATTGCATTAGGCAAATCTGTTGCACAAGACCTTTGAACAGTGTTGAAGAACAAAGATGACAGCTTGAAGACTAAGGTGCACCTGACCCAAGCCATGGTATTTTCAATAACCTGATATGCATGCAAAAGCTGGAGATAGAAGAATTGATGCTTTTGAGTTATGGTGTTGGAGGAGAATATTGAAAGTGCCATGGGCTGCCAAAAGAACCAACAGATCCATTTTGGAAGAAATGCAGCCAGAGTGCTCCTTGGAGGCCAAGATGGCCAAACTTCGTCTCTCAAACTTTGGACATATTGTCCGGAAGGACCCGTTGCTGGAGAAGGATATCATGTTTGATAAGGTGGAGGGTCAGAGAAAAAGAGGAAGACACCCAACGAGATGGATTGGCCAAATGGCAGCATCGATGGACTCAAGCATGGCAATAGTAGTGAGGTTAGCCCAGGATCAGGCAGTGTTTTGTTCTGCTGTGCATAGGGTTGCTATGGGTTGGTACTAACTCAGTGACACCTAACAACAACAACATAGTTATATGTTAAGTGCCGTTGAGTCGGATCCAACCCATAGCCACCGTGTACAGCATTTCTGAGGAGCAGCTGGTGAGCTTGAACCACCGACCTTGCAGTTGAAACAACTTTGCAGTTTGGTGTATTAACCCCCAGCGCCACACCAAGGCTCCCCATGTACTTATATATGGTGTTGTTAAATTTTGACTCTTAGGGTTTCCAAGGAGCAGCCGGTGGGTTTGAACTGCCGACCTTGTGTTTATTGTATAGTGCCATACCAGGAGTGTATATAAAATTTGGCTGGACATGTACTGCAGTTCACATCTTGTATTTATTTGAAGTCTTTCCCAACAGAAGATTTCATTGTGTTAGTAGTTGCTGGTCAAGAAGGGCCTCATTTTCTCCAAGGCAGTCGTGACCCTGACAGTTGGCAGTGACTTCTGGGATCCATCCCGGGACAGTTCTGAGAGGCAGACTTAGCTTAGGGCCCATATCCATTCCAGAAGCAGGAGATGAAAACTTAACAAAATCATTTCCTCATTAGTATTTCATTTTTAACTTTTATGCATGTCTGTATTATTATATATGGACTCCTGGTGTGGCGCTGTAGGCTAAGCTCCGGACTGCTAGTCACAAGGTCAGTGGTTCAAGCCCACCAGCTAGCTGCTCCTTGGAAACCCTATACAGGGTCACTATTTGTCTGAACTGACTCTACGACACTGAACAACATTATACAGCTTTATATCCAATTTAAGACTATCCTTACCATGTTGTTTCTCCGTGCCATTGACTCAGCCCCTGGAGAAGGATATCATGTTTGGTAAGGTAGAGAGAAAAAGAAGAAGACACCCAATGAGATGGATTGGCCAAGTGGCAGCATAGGGTTTCCAAGAAGCTACTGGTGAGTTTGAACTGCCGACCTTGTGGTTCCAACCGACTTTGTGGTCCTGCACTTCTGCAGTGCCACACCTGGACTCTAGCCTTACCTCTTAGCTTGGCTAATTTGGCCATTGTTTGGCTTTTCTGTGAATGTAAGGGATTAAGACAATGGTAATCCATAGTTCATAGTTGCATATTTAGCAAGCAAGGCTGATAACACTAAAACACCGAAGATGAACACTTGAGCTGAACTCCGCAAACAGGCATCACCTCCTTCCAGATGAGTTATTGTTGGTAAGTGTCGTAGAGTCGATTCCGGCCTGTAGCGACCCCCTATCCACATGAGTAGATCATCAGAAATCTCCTGCAGGAATGGGATCTGACTTGTCTGTGCCTAGTCCAAGCAGAGTGTCTAGAAGTGCTAACGTGAACGTACACTTCTCTTTCCAGACTAGCCCTGGGATGGTCCCCAGCCATGGATTCAGTCCCAGATCATATTTCTTTGACAACCCTCGAAGATACGACAGTGATGATGATCTTGCCTGGAACGTTGCCCCTCAGGGACCCCAGGGGAGGTAAGAACCGAGGTCATTTAGAGCAGCATGATTACGTACCCGTGAAATGGCTTCAAATGAAAGAAAATTCGTATTTAAAAAACATGGAGCTGAAGATTTCAGTCTTAATTTTATGGTCATGAAATGTTCAGGAATGAGAAAAGACAAACATTGAGTAAATAAAAGCTCCACCGATGATTCTTTGTAGCAGTGATTCCCAAATGGTCTCCCAAGGAAGACTGCTGCTTTCGTAGGCATGCCATATAAAAGGAAATGGTGGTTCAAAAAATGTTCTTTTGCAAGGTTTTTCATAGATAGTAACCTGCCACATGTTGTTGTTAAGTGCCACGGAGTGGGTTCTGACTCATAGTGACCTTGTATAGGGTTTCCGAGGAGCAGCTGGTGGGTTTGAACTGTCAACCTTGTGGCTCCCAGTCCAGTGCTGATCCTATAGCGCCACACCAGGAGTCCAGAGTATGTGATAGTATCCTATGCGGAATACGCTATGTGGAACCTGAATCTCTAAGAGGGAGACATGGTACTTGCCTATGGAGTCATTTAGTGGGGCAGGATTTGGCAAGTGTGGGCACAGTTCTTTAACCAGAAGTTCCAAAGCTAGAGATTAAATTGTACTCACTTATGAGAATAAATTACAGTAAGGACCAACGTTTCAAATTTGAATTGTGCCAATTCTTAATTTGAAAATCCATTGAAGTTAAGGGTATTTCTTTTGGTTTTAATCCAAGTAAATATTTATCTAACAAATGCATGTACAGCACGTGCTGTATATCAGATTGGGAGGGCAGTGACTGTAGGATAAGCACTGGACAAACCACAAGGTTGGCAGTTCAAGTCCACCAGTCACTTCAAAGGAAAAGGATGAAGCTTTCTGCTCCTGCAGAGATTACAGCCTCGGAAACCTTATACAGGGTCGTTATGAGTCAGAACCCACTCGAAAGCACTTAACAACAACAACATGAATCAGAGCTAATCGATCGTGGTCTGGAAGCTGCACTGAAATGTGTCCAGTACAGTAACCCTGCTAGTGTTTGAAATACCAGCAGTATATAGATAGCTTCAGTATCATAGCAACACCCGAGTCATCACAGTATGACAAACTGACAGAGAGGTGGACTGAGGCAGAGCAGGAAGAAAGACCTGGTGATCTGCTTCTAAATATTAGCCAGTGAAAACCTATGGATCATAACAATTGGTGGAAGATGAGTCCCCTCGGTTGGAAGACACTCAGAATACAGTAGCCAAAACTGCTTTCTCAGTGCTCATAAAGGTGGCGCAGGGCTGGGTACGTTTCGTTGAGCACGGGACTGCCAGGAGTCAGAACCAAGTCAACAATAACTAACCGTATGTGTCAGACATATTCTCAGAGATTCGCGAGCATTTACGCATTCAGTCTTCCCAACAAGCACGTGCGGTCAGAGATGAAACAAGCACGCAAAGGGTCCGTGAGTTGGCCAAGGTCACATAGTCAGTGGTGAGGCAGGATTCCAACTCAGGAGTCTCATTTAAGTAAGTCCCTACTTTGAATCACTACACAATGCAAATGGTGGTGGTTATGTGCTGTGGATTCGGTTCCGACTCATAGCGACCCTGTACACGGTTTCCGAGGCTGTAAATCTTAACGGGAGCAGAAAGCCTCATCTTTCTCCCACAGAACAGCTGGTAGTTGGGCACTGCCGACCTTGAGGTTAGCAGCCTGACTTGTGACCACTACGCTACCAGAGCTCCTTACATTGTACAAATACTTTGTCTATATTTCAGTACCACATCTCTTGGTCTCACCATGCCTGTGCTTTGCTTATACTTTGATACGAGTTTTTTTAAAACAGCATCTTGTGCTTTAGGTGAAAATGTCCTTAGAAAATCACAATAGTCCATACACAGATTGTTCCACGACATTGGTTATGACCCCACAGTGAGTCAGTTTTCTCACCGTGTCCACCCCACCTGTCCCCTGGCCTCCTTGCCATCCCTTCTTCACGTTGGGGTCAATGGGGGCTGCTTGGCCCTGTGCCCTCGACTATTTAAAGAACACGTTCCTCACGGAAACAAACGCTTGTTTTCTAGGCGAGTCTATAATTTGAAGGATGACCTCCAGGAGTATCTTCAGTTCCAGGTTAAAAGGGTGTTTTAGGGTCTTGGCGATTCCTCTAGTCTTTTATCGGTTCAATAAGTCTAGTAAATCTGGTCTTTCTTTTTATAAATGTGAAAGTTGTTCTTATTTTCCTCCCATTTTAACTGTGGGCTTCTACTGTGTCCCTGGTGAGAACTGGCGGTGGGGCTGTCCAGGTACCATTTAGTTCTGGTCTCAGGAGAGAAGAGGGTGTAGTTCACAGGGGCCTCTAGTCAGTCCTGTGGACTCATTTCTTCCTGGAATCTGAGGTTTCCTACACTCATCTTTGGTCTAGACAGGAAGAAGCCAGTATCTTAGAGGGCTACTCATGAGCTTTTGAAGACCTCAGACACTACTCTCCAAACTAAGACGTAGAACATGAGTCTGTGATTAAGTTATGCCAGTTGATCTAGTTGTGCTGTGAGCTTATCTATGGTCTGGAGCCTTCAAACCCAATAAATCAACCCCACAAGGTGTTTGGATATGTCTAGGAAGTACCCCAAACTATGCCCCCTGTGTGCTTTATTGAATATCTCTGCAGCTCATACAAACATGGACATACATTAAAATCCAAACCCAACACCGTGTATGAAGTTGATTTTGATTCATGGGAACCCTGGAGAGCACAGTAAAGGTGCCCCTGGGGTTTCCAAGGCTGTAAATCTTTACAGAAGCAGATTGCTGTCGCGTGGAGCAACTAGTAGGTACGAACGGCCAACCTGTGGGTTAGTTGAGCTTTTAGACCACTGTGCCACCAGGGCTACCTTAGGCTGTTAGGTGCCACCAAGTTAGTTCCAACTATTAGCAGCCCCATGTAGTAGAGAACAAATCACAGCCTTGTCCCGTGCCATGATTACATAGGTTGAACCCACGGTTGTAGCCACAGTGTCAAAAGAGGGCGCTGAACCTCTACTTTACCAAGCATGATGTCCTTCTCCAGGGACTGGTCCCTCCTGAAAACGTGCCCAGCTTATGAGAGATGGATACTCAACATCCACCCTTCTAAGGAGCATTCGGAATGTACTTCTTGCAAGACAAATTTGTTTGGTCTTCTTCTAGCAGTCCAGGGTGTACTCGGTATTCTTCAGCATCAATCCTTCTCTGGCCTTCCTCATTCATGGTCTAGCATTTTGCATGCATACGAGGCAATTGAAAAGACCATGGCTTGGGCCAGCACACCTTGGTCCTCACAGTGACATCTTTGTTTTTGAATCTTGTAAAGAGATCTTTTGCAACAGATTTGCCCAGTGCAATACATTTGGTTTCACGACTGTGGCTTCCATGGGTGTTGGCTGTGAATCAAAGTAAAATGAAATCCTTGACCATTTCTATCTTTTCTCTGTTGATCATGATGTTGCTTACTGAGTGGTCCAGTTGTGAGGATTTTTGTGTTCTTTATGTTAAAGTGTAATGCATACTGAAGACACTACTCTTTGATCTTTTTAAACATTAAGTACTTTAAGTCTTCTTTCCTTTCAGCAAGTAAGGTTGTGTTATTTGCATATTGAGTTTTCTTCCCATCCTGATGCCAAGTTCTTATTCATACAGTCCAAATTCTCAGATTATTATCTCAGCATACAAGTTGGATAAGTATGGTGCAAGGATACAACACTGACGCACACCTTTCCTGACTTCAACAGTATCCCCTTGTCCTGTTTGAATGACTACTTCTTGGTCTACTTACAAGTGCTGTATGAATACAGTTAAGTGTTGCAGAATCCCCATTCATTGCAATGTTACCCATGATTTGTTATCCACACAGTTGAATGTCTTTACATAGTCATTAAAACTCAGGTAAACATGTGATATTCTCGATTTTTAGCCAAGATTCATCTTACATTAGCAATGATATCCCTTATGTCACATCCTCTTCTGAATTTCGCTTGAATTTCGGGCAGTTCCCTATCGATGTACTGCTACAAGCATTTTTTTTTTTTTGGATTGTCTTCAGCACAGTTTTACTTACATGTGATATTATTTATGTTGCTCGATAATTTCCACATTCTGTTGGATCACCTTTCATGGGAATGGACACAAACACATATTTCCTCTAGTTGGTTGGCCAGGTAGTGCTGGCCACATGGGTAGCTGTGTTCCAAATGTCTTGGCTTTGATAAGCGAGTGCTTCAGTGCTGCTTCCATTGCTTGAAAGATCTCAGTTGGTATTCCGTGAAACCCTAGAGCCTTGTTGTTCCCCAATGCCTTCAACACATCTTGGAGCTCTTCCTTTCGTACCATTGGTTCTTGATCATACCTCTTGAAATGGCTGAATGTTTACCAATTACATTATTTGCTACAGTGACTTAGTGTATTCCTTCCATCTTTTGATGCTTTCTGTCATTCAGTATTTTGCTCATAGAATCCTTCATTACTGCAATTCAAGGCATGAATTTTGCCTTCAGTTCTTTCTGCTTGAGAAATGCTAAACGTGTTCTTCACTTTTAGTATTTTTTTAAACTCTTGATCTTTGCATATTTCATTTGCAGTTTACTGTGTCTTCTCAAGTCCTTTGATATCTCTGTTTAGCACATTTACTATCCTTTCCATTGGTTTTGTTTTAGCTTCTCTGCGCTCAAGAGCAAGGAGCTCTGGTAGCATAGTGGTTACGAATTGGGCTGCGAACCGCAAGGTCAGCAATTCAAAACTACCAGCTGCTCCGCGGGAGAAAGATGAGGCTTTCTGCTCCCGTACAGATTTACAGCCTTGGAAATCCTGTTCAGGGTCGCTATGGGTTGGAACCAACTCGATGGCACTTAACAACAACAACAACACACTCAAGAGCAAGTTTCAGAGTGTCTTCTGAAATCTGTTTTGGTCTTTTATTGTCTGTCTTTTTAATGACCTTTTGCTTTCCTCATGTCTCATCCCACAGCTTGGCTAGTGTTCAGGGAAAATCTGCTGTTAAGAACGTCTCTAAATTCGTGTAGGATATACTCAAGGTGGTACTTAGGTTCTCCTAGACTTGTTTATGCCTGTGGTCACAAATATACCTCTCTAGATCCACGTACATGCACTCCTGGATGCTGTTCCACACCCACATAGCACACATAGCTACCTGTGTAACCACTCACGTATTTTTGGTTTGGTATTACAGTTATTGCAGAATTGTCTGTTTTTACTGTGTGGGTTTACTGTCGTCATCCTCTGTTCTTGCATACCTCTTAGTGTCTTCATTTACCTTCATCAGGTTGTGCTGACTTCCTCTACATCGTGCATTGTCTTTCCCATCACAGAATAACAAGTGTCTACTGTCTAGTCCTGGTGTGGCGCTGCAGCGTAAGCACTGAAGTGCTAACAGCAAGGTCGGCGGTTCAAACCCACTAGCCGTTCTTTGGGAACCCACTATACAGGGTCGCTATGAGTTGGAGCCGACTCGACAGCACTTAACAGTAATAACTATCTAGTATGTGACTGGCCCTCCCAGTCTCTAGTCATCAAAGAATGGTGCTTTCTGTGTATATACCCAATCTTGACCTTTTATGAAAGTGATGTCATGCAATATGGGTTTTTGTGTTTGACTTACTCATTGAGAAACGATATGTTTCATGGACTCATATCGTTGTTCTTTATGATCGCATAGTGTTCTGCTGTATGTGTGTACCACACTGTGTTTCTCCATGCAGCCGTGAGTGGGCATTTAGGTTGTTTCCGTCATTTGACTTCATCGTTATTACGACTGATGCCGCACTGAACATGGCGGCTCTTACGTCTGATTGTGCCGCTGTTTTGACCTCTGTAGGTTTAGAGTGGGATTGCTGGATCAGGCGCTATTTCTGTTTCTAACTTTTAGAGGAAGTACCATACCATTCTCCATCGTGGTTATGCCATTGTATAATCCCAACAGGAGTGTATGAGTTCTGGTCTCCCCACAACTCTGCCAGTATTTGTGATTTTCTGTTTGTATGAGTACCGTTTTTACAGGGTGAGACGATAGCTCATCGTCGTTAGATTTGCATCTCTCCCCGACTCATCTGTCAGTTTGTCTAATTGTGGTGTTGCTGTGGTGTTGGAACTTACGCACTGGTATTGGAGATACCAGCAGGGTCACCTTGGTGGACGGGTTTCAGTGGCGTTTCCAGACTAAGACTAGAAAGAAGGAGAGGCTGCTTCCTTCTGACTGGTTGGCTACTGTAAACCTTATGAATAGCAGGAGAACACTGTCAGGTGTAGTGTCGGAAGATGAGCCCCTCAGAAGGACTGCCTCCGCAAAGTAGGGGTCAGCATGTGACGTGGTTGTAACAAGCTTTCAGGACCATCATTTGCTGATGGGGCACAACTCAAAATGAGGAGAAACAGCTATAAACATTCATTGGTTATTGGAATATGGATTGCACTAAGTATAAATTAAGGAAAATTGGAGATATTCAAAAAATGAAATGGAATGCATAAAGATCGATATCCTAGGCATTAGTAAGCTAAAATGGACTGGTATTGACCATTTTGAACCATGTATGGTTTACTATGCCAGGAATGACAGATTCAAGAAGAATGGTATCACATTGATTGATACACGAACATTTTAAAGTCTGTCATGAAGTCCAATGCTGCTGTCTGTCATAAGATAATAACCATACTACGACAAGGCAAACCACTTAGCACTACTATTATTCAAATGTACACACCAACCACTAAAGCCAGTGAGGATGAAATTGAAGAATTCTACCAACATCTTCAGTCTGAAATGGATCAAACATGCAAGGAAGATGCATTGATAATTACTGGTGATTGGAATGCAAAGGTTGGAAACAAAGATTGAACGATCAGTAGTCGGAAAATATGATGTTGTTGATATAAATGATGCTGGAGATCACATGGTAGAATGTCAAGACCAGTGACTTACTCATTTCAAATACCAATTCTAAACAACATAAAAAACGACTATACATGCAGACCTCACCAGATGGAATACACAGAAATCAAATGGACTACATCTGTGGGAAGAGATGGTGGAAAAGCTCCATATCATCAGTTAAAACCAGGCCAGGGACAGACTATAGGACAGATCAATTACTCATATTCAAATTCAGGCTGAAGTTGAAGAAAATTAAAACAAGTCCACAAGAGCCAAACTACGATCCTTCCCGCCCCGCAGTACTAGTCCCAAGAAAGGGCAGCTTCAGTTTCTCAAAATCCTTTGTGGATTTCATGACCCCTCATTCATAAACTCTATGCATACAAAAGTTGGACAGTGAATAAGGAAGACCATAGAAGAATTGATGTTTTTGATTTATGGTGTTGGAGGAGAATATTGAAAGTGCCATGGGCTGGCAAAAGAACCAATAGATCTGTGTTGGAAGAAGTGCAGCCAGAGTGCTCCTTGGAGGCCAAGATGGCCAAACTTTGTCTCTCATACTTTGAACATATTGTCAGAAGGGATATCATGTCGCTGGAGGATATCATGTTTGGTAAGGTGGAGGGTCAGAGAAAAAGAGGAAGACCCCTGGTGAGATGGATTTGCAAAGTGGCAGCATCAATGGGCCCAAGTGTGGCAACAATAGTGAGGTTGGCCCAGGACCAGGCAGTGTTTCGTTCTGTTGTGCTTAGGGTCGCTGTGAGTTGGTACCAACTCAATGGCACCTAACAACAACATTCATAAACTCTGCTTTCCATTTTTCTTTTCCTTTGGGACAAAAAAAGATAGGCTTGTTTTCACATTCTTTATTTTTTCATTACTCTGGTAGCGTAGTGGTTACGAGTTGGGCTGCTAACCTCAGGGTCAGCAGTTCGAAACTACCAGCTGTTCCGTGGGAGACAGATGAGGCTTTCTGCTCCCATAAAGATTTACAGCCTCGGAAACCCTGTTACAAGGTCGCTATGAGTCGGAACCAACTCTTGGAACACAACCACTAACAACCACCACTAACAATAATAAAAGTCCTTAAGAAAACTTAGGAAAAACACTCTTAAAAGAATGCTTGTTTTAGGGAAGAGGAGAAGTGATGCGGAGCTCTCTCACTGGATCAGACCCGTGGTGGTTGTTGGATTATCTCTGACTCATGGAAGCCACACGTGTGTCAGAGTAGAAGTGCACTCCAGAGGGATTCCATTGCTGAGTGTTTGGAAGGTAGATCACCAGGCCTGGATTTGAACCTCCAACCTTTCAGTTAGCAGCTGAACATGGTAACTGTTGGCACCACCCAGGGACTCCCTGTGGATCAGGGAGATGAGTTTGGCCAGGAAGAATAAGAGAGTAAGAGATGGTGATTGGGAAAAATAGAAGAAAGCAGAGCAGAGATAGAAAGAGCACAGGGACCTGGAGGCTAGCCAGGAAGCAGGAAGTACTTCCGGAAGTTAACACCGTCCTGCACTCGCTCGTCACTGTAACTGGTCTCTTACTCCATTTCCTTAGACAGATGTGTCCCTTGAGCTCATACCTGGCCCCTCATCTACCGGAGGGGTGTTAGGGCTCAGGGAGTCCTCACTACATATGAGGGCCCTTCGTTGTTGTTAAGTGCTGTCGAGTCGGTTCCGACTCATGGCGACCCTGTATAGGCTGAAGAGTGAGTCTGAACCACCCACTTTGCGGTTCAAACTGACCTTGCGGTCCAGTGCTTATCCTACAGTGCTACACCAAGAACTAATAAATATGTTTGAGTGCTAACTATATATTAGATGTGGTGGTTATGTACCATGGAGTCGGTTCCCACTCATAGCGACCCTGTACAGGGTTTCCAAGGCTGTAAATCTTTATGGGAGCAGAAAGCCTCATCTTTCTCCTGCAGAACAACTGGTAGTTTCAAATTGCTGACCCTGAGGTTCACAGCCCAATTCGTAACCAACCACTGTGCTACGAGGGGGCTTCAAAAGTTTGTGGGAAAATAGAATTAAAAGAGAGTAGAATTTTTCCGCTAAGCACGTAATCCCCCAAATAACCCAACAAAGTGGTTACTAATATATATCCATTTAAGGTACATAAATTAATTTGTCCAAAGACATAGTCCAAGGTTCGATTCAGAAACAATATTTTGCTAAGAAAATCTTGTCATACGCAGTGATTGCTTTATGGCCCCATTAATATTATATTTCTGGATAATACAAAGTTCAGTGGACTTTTTTGGGCAGGTTCTAATCACTTTGTGCTAATTTTATTTCATGGGAAAATAGGTTTCAGTAAGTCACTTTAAGGAACTCGGGGATTGTCTAATTTATACAAAATCCTAACTCTCTGTACCTCAAATCGACATGTCATATATACTAAGTACAGTGTTTCAAGTCACTGAAATATTTCCTTTTCTTTTTAAGTTTTGCTGCAGACTATTATGACTGGGGACAACAACCTAACAGCTTCACGGCACAAGGAGGAACTTCACCACAAGTTTCAACCTTGGCTCCTGAAAAACCAAGCCATGGGTAGCATCACCTCACAGTAGTATGGGAGATTTCCTTGGTTGAAAAGCTTCAGAAAGACAAAGACAATGATAACCGGACCGTTAGGACACTTTCCTAAAGAAATTGGACGTGGTTCTTATTATAGCTGGTTTCTGGTAGACTGATCAGACCTTCTTTTGGTACTGAGAAGAGAGTCTGCTTATTTTAGTGGGTCTAATTTAAACCTATGTTTTTAACTGTACTTTTTGTAAAGATCTATTTTATATAACTTAAATAATCATGTTAAAGTACACTAGTATTTTTTCCCGAGAATGTCATTGCAATATTTTTTTCAGTTTGCACAAACTTTTCTGCATAATTCACTTTAAAACAATACAATATCTGGTCTAATTTTTTTTTTTTTTTTTTTTTTAAAAGGCTTTTGGACTGAAATATTCCTCAGAGCCTCACACTCATTCTGAGCTTTACATCAGGAGACTCCGAAAGTACAACTGCCGTCCCGAGAGTTGTTTGCAACTCCAGTATTGAATGTTAGGGTGGACAGTAATACTATAGACTGTAAGGTACCTGGGAGTCCTCAGTGGCACACACAATTAAGCACTTGACTACTAGCTCCAAGGTTGATGGTTTGAACCCAGCCAGAGGTGCCTTGGAAGACAGGCCGGTGATCTGACGCCTCAGTTCTCCGATGTACACTGGGGGGTTGACAAGAGGCCGAATGAACTCAGTGACAGCTAATAACCAGGTCACTGGCTCCCGAGGGTTTCTTAGGGCTCACATGATTGTTCCTTCAGAGAATCTTTTAGAATTTGCCAAAAGTTTTTTAGCTCCTTTCTGCAGGGCACGAATGTATAAGCAGGGCTACAGACAAATTGTGGAAAAATTCCATTATCTTTCAACTGTTTTTTTCCACGTACTTTTGGAAGCTCCCTCGTATAATTTAATGATAAGCTGAGAATGTATGCAGGCATACCTCATGTTCTTGCACTTTTTTACAGGTTGAAGGTTTGTGGTATTCTGGCCTTGAGTAAGTCAACCGGTGTCATTGTTCTCGCAGCATGTGCTCCCTTCATGTCTGTGTCTCAGTTCGGTAATTGTCAAACTTTTCATAATGCTATGTACGGCACACTGATTATAGTATAGTGTGCACATGACTTTTACTTGCTGGGAAACCAAACAAATGTGTATGACGATTGGCTTGATCGCTGTTGCCTGGAACAGAACCCGCAGGACCTCCGAGGTACGCCTGTACAGCGCAGACTTCTGATGCTAAGCCCCCGCTGCTGTGTTCGCTCACAAGGGCGGTGTTCAGACATGGCAGTCACTGCATGTGGAGACTCACAGTCTCAGGAACCCCGGACAGACTCACTATGAGGCGGAATCAACTTGTGGGCACTGGGTTGGCTTTTGGTTTGGCTGTGTTCATAAAGTCTGCAAAGTTTTAAGTCTAATGAAATCAAGTACCTGTTAACTCAAGACTACAGCAAGACCACAGATTTCCCAACTTGCTGAATTTTTGTTGACATTCAAAGAGAATGTAATAAAAGTTAAGAGACTCCAAAAAGGGGATTGATAATAAATACCCGGGCCCTTGAGCCCAAAGATGATGTGAAATCCAATAGTTTTTGTTTTTGTAATTTGCAGTCACAATGAACATAGCCACCTTTCTCTTTAAATAACTCTGCGAGCAGAGTATTCAGGCTACAAGTTCAAATCAGAGGAGCAGCTTCACAAAATGGAGCTTGCTACTACAGATGTCCTCTGTCACTTAGTTGGTTTTGATTTACATGAGAAACATGCTATTTCCTCAACCAGAAACGTTGTTCTAAAACCTCTGCTTTGTGTACACTGAAGCCATAAAAGAACCTGTTAAGTGGTACTTGGTGGGAGGTCAAATGCTCTAATTTCCTACAAAAGAAACACAGGTACCAGAGTAAGGACTGTTCCTGGGTTTCACTCTTCCCAGGCAAATCTCAGGGCAGAGGGAGGGACAAACGGAAAGAACTTTCACTAAGAGCTCCTACCTACCTGCATGAGGAGATCCATTTCAGATGACTCACTGCCCATTTGGGTCTTCATGAACAGCTGATCTCTGGGCATTGATTTCACAGACATCAAATCCATTTCTGTTATTTTGGTGGGATTTTAAATTGGCATGTTGTTAAGTGCTGTCGAGTCAGTTCCGACTGATAGCGACCCTGTATAGGGTTTCTGATGAGCAGCTGGTGAGTTTGAACCACTGACCTTACCTTGCAGTTCAAACTGACCTTGTGGTCCAGTATGCATTATTCCAAAGCACCATACCAGGACTCCTGAGAAATGTGCATAGCACGTTTTACATTGGCCATGATTGGGTTTTTCATTTGTAGAGGATACCTTTAAGGAGCCTATGGTGGCCCAATGGCTAAGCATTGGCTGCTAACTGAAAGGTTGACAGCTCGAAACCACCAGCTGCTCTCATAAAGCTCTCCAGCCTTGGAAACTCAGAGACAGTTCTGCCATGCCTTCTTGGGTCACTATGAGGTAGAATCAACTCAATGAGGACAAGGCAGGCTTGCGAATGGAATACCTTTACTCTGCACCATCCCACGGAACAACACACTTTTCTTTCAAACGATGGAAAAACCTGGGTCTCAGGTCATTTAAAAGAGAAAAATTCCATTGAAGCAAAATCTGTACTGTTTATTCAGGTTGTCCTAAAATATTACAAGTTGCTGTTCTAAATACTCCCTAGGTAAGAACTCCCTATGTGGTCACGGTCTTTGTTACTAATACTTAGGAGCGTGTACAGGCACACTCAGCATATGCTGAAAAACGTAGTATACGAAAATCTTTTAAATCATGCTTGCAGAAAGTCCTGCAGATCCTTACTATTCAGTCAGCTACAGACAGATATGTTTTTAAAATTACTCGTGGTCAAGCGCTCAGCTGCTGAGAAGTTTGGTGGTCCAAGCCCACCAGCAGCTCTGTGGGAGAAAGATGTGGCACTGTGTTCCCATCAAGCTTTACACCTTTGGAGACCTTGTGGGGCCGCTCGAGTGTCCAATGGGCCTCTGTGACTTGGAATCCACTTGACAGCAACTGATCTGGTTTTGGCTTATGATAAAAATATCACTAAAATCATACAATTCCTATATTCATTCTGTGACAGGTAAAGTCGATCATTCTGTTAGTGGCAGGGAAATTTGAAATCGTTAGCGTTAACAATGAATGTCCCAATCAACATTTATAATAAAGCTGCTAGTATTTATTTAAAGTGTATTTTTGTTGCAGAGCATTTTTTAAAACTTCTGTATCTACTGCTCTTTATTTTTATTACAGTGCAGGTGTTGCAGACTCCTACTAGAATATTAAAACTGTGTTGTATCAAATGAACTTTCTCTCACAGTAAGTGATCATGTATACCCTGTGGAGTGATGCAGAATTGTATGGGGAGAAAAATGAAAACTTCCTTCAGCTTTGTAATCTACGTGTGCTAAGTATAAGTACATTAATAAAGCCAGTCCTATGCAAACTATTAAACGTTATGAAAGAGGATGAAATGCTGATTACTAGTTGTAAAATACCTGAATAACCTCATTTTTAAAGCAGTATAAATTTAAAGTTGGGAATTTTAAAGTTGGCACTATCATTGAGAATTTGGTGCTAATAATTGTCTAAGTCCAGTGTAGTACCAAGGCCCTGGTGTGACACTGTAGGGTAAGTATTGTATTGGTTACTGCAAGGTCGGCAATTCAAGTCCAATAGCCACTCTTAGGCCCCACACAGGAGTGTTCCTGTTTTAACTATTAGAAGCATGCACTGTTACATGCTGTCAAGTCGGTTCTGACTCGTAACGACCCTGTGTAGGGTTTCCAAGGAGCAGCTGGTGAGTTTGAATCACCAACCTTGCAGTCCAGCGCTTATCCAACACCACCACACCAGAGCCAGTAAATGTGTAAAATTTCCTATCCGTCATGTTTTATAAATTCACTAGTGAGTACGGGATTCAAATGTTCATGTATAAAACCTCAATGATCAATTTCTCTGGAACTGATACATACTGAGGAGTACACACTGCTGAAGAGACCAAAGCCCTTACGTACTGGAGGTCGATTCTGTGAAGGAAGTGACATTCTACTGGGATGTTCATGGTGAATGCAGACTCTGATGGAAGCATGTTAGGCAGATGGGTTGACTTGATTACTGGTATCAGTCTATGGCGGCCTGAAGTCAGGCCGTCAGAAAGATGATGCTTGTTCTGCTGCCAAGTCAGTCCCAGCTCACAGCGACCCTGAACAGGGTTTCCAAGGAGCAGCTGGTGACCTTGTGGTTATCCTACATCCCACATCAGGACTCCCTTACATTGGGGGCGCCCTCTGTACTAGACGGGTTTCTGTTAGGCATTCATTCTTTCTTTGGGTACATTCTCCACTATAAGCTAGTTACGATGTGGTTAGACTATTCTAGAATGCAAGTTCATGATGGCAAGAGATTTTTGTCTGTTATGTTCACTGCAGTATTTCCAGCTTCTAGAACAATGAAGGAGAGTCCTGGCATGGTACTGTTAGGTAAGCACTGGACTGTTAATTGCAAGGTTGGTGATTCAAACCCACTAGCCACTCCTTGGAAACCCTGCCCTACACAGGGTCGCTATAAATCAGAACCGAGTCAATGACACCAACAACACAACACAAATGGTCAAATCCTGTTCTGATAGATACTGCCCCCCCCCCCTTTTATTTTACAAAGTTATCAATTTCTTTAAGGGCTTCACCCTATTGCATAATAAACCTTCAACAAATACCCAACTTTTGGAGAAAAGATTCATAATGGAATGAAAAAAGGAAATTAAGGATTTTACCTTTGTTATTGTTGTGTGAGGTGGAGTTCGGTTCCGACTCATAGTGACCCTGTACAGGGTTTCCGAGGCTGTAAATCTTTACAGGAGCAGAAAGCCTCATCTTTCTCCCGAGGAACAGCTGGTAGTTTCTAACTGCTGACCTTGCGGTTCGCAGCCCGATTCGTAACCACTATGCTACCAGAGCTATAAACAGTCCTAAGTCATTCCTGGGAGGCATGTCTTAAACTAGAAGCGATGGAATTCTTTCTGCATAATCACTTCCCTGGCAGGGCACTGGCATACAGCACAGCAAGTAGTAAAAGCCGGTGTTTACTAGGTAGAGGATCAGATTAGACGACTAGTGCGGAATTAAATAGATAAAAGTACAATCCTGGAGAATACTGGACAGAGCTGCAGCATGCGTAACAATCTGTTCATGTCCTATAGTGTGGTGCTGTTAGGTAAGCACTGAACTGTTGATCGCAAGGTTGGTGGTTCAAACCCACTAGTCACTCCCTGGAAACCCAACACAGGGTCGCTTAGGTTCATACAGAAAAATATACAAATATGGACAGCTAGGAAAGCTGTTTTAAAAAAAGAGTACCAAAGCTCCGATGTTAAACCCTAACTAGCCAGAGTAATAAAAATCAGGGGGTACTGTGAATGAATACATAGATCAATGAAACAGAACGAGAAAACGTGAATACAGGGTCAGAGACATACGGGAAGTTCTATATAGCAAATACAGCTTCTCCAACTACTGGGGGGGGGGGAAATGAGCTGTTCAGTAATTGTGGTACGGGAACAACTGGCTCATCTTACACAATTAGGTTGGTTCTGTAACTTCATAAATTAGAATGGCAAAAGTGTAACCGTTTGAGAACATCTGTGTTGGTGAGGCTGTGGGTAAGCAGACATCATGTTCAACTGTGGGTGGGCATTTGTACTGGTAACTGGAGAGCAATATGGCACTGTCTTAGAAAATTACAAATGCACATATCTGAGTCAACATTCCATTTTTGGGAATGTATCCTACAGATCCATGTGAAATGGCATGTTCAGGTATATATGAAATGACACAGATCGGGCCCTGGTAGATGACACGATACATCATGTACACTTGGACTACTCTGCAGCCACTAGAGAAATGAGAACACGATCTAGGAATATGGAGAGGGTACCAAGAAGTATAAACAGGACAAAAAAACAAGGGAAGGACAGTATGTGCATATTGTCACTGTCAGGGTAAAAATGAGGGAAAGAATTAAACTTTGAATTTGTATCTGCTTGTATATGTCTACCCTAAAAAGTGGATGTTGAAAACAAGAAACTGAGATCACAGGTAGTTATTTATGGTGGTAGTGGGTGGATGAGAGTTGTGGGTATTTGAGAAGATGGGGCAAAGATGGAAGGAAGACATTTCATTGTATGATTTTTTTCTGTTTTGGATTTTGGATCATTCAACACATTAAACGAAAGAAAGCATGTTAAAAAAAGCTTCATGACTCAATGCAAATCAAAAGGTATTAAAAGTACCCAATTTTAAATGGGCGGTAATAGGTCCACTTATGAAATGACACAAATGAACCATGTTCTGAGCAGAGGCTCTGGAGTCATATTCTAGCTCTACAACATAAATGAATGACTGTGAACAAGTTATAAGTCTCTCTTAGTCTCATTTTTCTTATTTATAAAACGAGGTGATCGTACCTGCCTGTGGGTGCTCTTGTGAAGATGAAATAGAATGCCTGTGGAGCCTGTAATAGAGTACCTGCACATGGTTGCTGTTGTGACTACAAGAGTTTCCTTAAAAATATATGTTTTCCCCTGGAGGCAGAGACAGGGACCTGGAGAGAGGGAGCGGCTGAGGACTCGGAGCTAAAGTGGAGAGAAAGAAACACTGTTAACTGATGGTACATGGAGGGGATTGTAATGAAACACGGTGTATGATTTGTTGAAGGTAAAACGGATAGTCTGCCCTGTAAACTTTCACTCAATTCACAAAAACTTTTTGAAAGGGGGAAAAAAATATGTTCCCCCTTCTTCACAGTTTATAATCAAATCCACATAAAAGAAACATTAGAGAGACAAGGAAAAAAAAAGAAAAAAACGAAACAATAAACAGCTGCAGAAACATTTACTTTAATTCACAATTTCTAGAATTTGGGGTTACATTAGCAAATTACTTGGAATTCTGTTCCAAACCAAAGTTTCATCTTAGAGTAAGTAAATGTTACTTAAGAGTACACATGAAATTGAGTTTGTGTTTTTTCTTTTCCCAATAATTTCTCTAATACTATGCACCCAGTGTGTTTATTTCAGTGACTAGCTATGGTTTCTGCTTACAAATTGCTGAGAGGTTTACTTTTGAGTTGTTTCCAAATTTCCAGCTGAAGGCTATGCTGACGAAGATCAAAAGAGCTGTCCTTTCTTAGACACACAGCGGCACCTGACAAAGTCGGAAAATACGGCATGGTATTTCATACACGTAAAGATGTTACACGTAGTGAATAATTCAGTGTGAAAATGTTGAAATAAAAGGTTCTCACTGCTCAAATTTCAAAACTGAAATTACATTTTTTCTTGAGTCTACTCATAATCTAAACAGCAAAACAAATGAAACATTTAAAGTTTACCAATGCTAATAGTTTTCTATCTTACAAAGATGCCACTTTAAGGAAAAGTAAAGTCATTATCATGCCATTAAAACGTTCCTTCATTTTCTATACTTCATCAGCAGCTACAATCATTTTGGTCAGTTACATTACCAAGTGCTGGCTGTTTTAAGGTAGGTAATAGGACAAAGACAAAATGCCAAGAGGTAATTTACCAGTCTAACATTATCACAATGCAATCAGTACCCTATTATCATTGTGAATTGGGAAACCAGTTTATATACCACAAGGACCATAAAATATCACCAGGCTCACAAAACAAAGATTCCTAAAGTTTATACAATCATTTAAAACACACACAAATTAGTGTTCCCCCACCCTCAACTGAATTTATGGTAAAATACATGAATTTCTGCTTACGAATATTTCATTTGCTTACAAGTAGTGAGATGATACGTTAAAACTTGGAAAAGCACCTTTTGCTTTCCCCAAACGGACTCTAATGCACATTTCCCCCCTAAGCTTCAAGTAAGTAAGAGTTTAAATAACAGTCTTTTTCTTTCCCTAGAGGGATGGTGAAGTAACACTACTCAAAAGATCTTAAACACACAGTAGTGAGTAGTGATAGCAGGCAAAGTACAAAACGTGAACATTTTCTTAAAACTTTGAACACTAAACTTATGAATAATCCCTTTTTTACCATTAAGACCATTTAAAAATTCACTTTCTAGAAAATTTGCCTTAAAGGACCCCCTCCCCACCACACAACATTTGCATTTCTAAAGAAAGAAAAAAAAAAAGTGGAGGCTTCCACAAACAAGTCAGCCTTTTTATTCACTTAACACCACCATTAGCAAAACCCAAAACACGGAGTTTATGAATGTTAGAAATTACTGTAAAGTCATTCTAGTGATGACCTTAGTTCCCCCAGCTAAATAGTCTTTAAAATGTCTGGTCAAAAGAAGTACAATTTCAAAGAACGAACTCCATTAGATCACCAGTGAACACATTCCAGACTTTGGCAGGATAAGACGGGGGTTAAGAGCACTTGGTATTTATTTTGCAAAAGACGGAAGAGTCTAAAGCAAGACTGTATTTTTGTACCCACACTACATAGATGCAAACTTCCAAACAAATCACATTGTATCTCCTGACTTCTTTTAAAACAATCAATATTGTAAATATTGTTTAAGGATATTTAAGTCCCACATTTAGGAAGTAACAGTTTAGTACTTGTGAGTCATCTGTTGGTACAAAGTACCACTTACATGCAAGGAACACAAATGAAAAGGTGGGCAGGGAGCTTAAAGGTTGCTTAGACAGCCTACCAAGGAAATTAAGAAGGAAAGTTCTAGGATTGCATAGATTGTATTCTAAAATAAAATCCTTATAAATGCTTACTTTAAAATAGAAAAAAGCAAACAAACAATTAAATAGCAACCTTTGTGTATTATGTTTTAAATTGGTGTTATAAATACATAGAGACCTGTTCAGATTTTATTGAGAAATAATTGGTTAAATAAATATTTATGGGTTTTTAAATTCTGGTATGTTTTGGGGTCTTAAAAATTGAATGAATTTTGTACATTTGGGTTGAGAACAAAGAAAGACAAAAATCTAAATAAACTACTTAGGTTCTCAGTAAAAGAACCTGCTTGCGTCAGCCATCCCTGAACTCTAGCTGAGGAGCACAGGGCAGATGCTTTCGATCAAAACAAAATAGCAACTATCAAAAATCTTACAAAAATCAATGAGTTTGAAGATCTGGAGATTCTCACGGAACTACTGTAACTGTACATTTAAAGAACCATTCATCACAGTGACAGTCCATTTTATATAAGGTGATACGTGCAGAGCTGGGAAGGACTCTTTATGACATTAAAACATTGTGATACGTTTTTATCATGATACCAGCCCTAAGCAACATTTGTTCCCTAGTTCTCCTTTTCATAGCAGCCTGCTAACATTGTGATTAGGATGGAGATAAAGCCATTTAAGGTTCGACAACTGGAAATAAAGGCTAATACAATACGAACAAAACTAATTCTGAACAAATGGAACAGACTATTCAACAGGGGGCAACAAGTGAAAGTCAACACAGGATTAGTATAATTTACATGTTTTAAAAGTATAGACTTCATTTATAAATATCTCCAATTGATGATAATCTATTAAGGATCATAAATAGTCAAGTGAGGATCTGAATTTTCTCATTAAAGAGTTCAAAATTCTTGACGGTTTTTAGGAGATTAGTCTCTAATCTGCTGAATGTCCATACTAAAAGGCTTCCCATAGTCCCTTTATGTCTCTTTAGAGACATGTAAAAGCCTTCATTACCTACTCTGCTGTAATAAGACTTTAAAATTCTGTAATTCTCTTATACTGGTGGAAAGCCTGTAAGAGAAAAAAAAAAAAAGAAAGCATGTTAGTACAGCTAATAATAATGCATACAAGGATAGCTTTAAAAGCATTGCTACAAAATCATAGAACCCTTTATTAAAATTAAAATAACACAATGTGAAGCTACTGTTTCTCAACATATCCTCTATCTAGGTCTAGACATTTCTGAAGGTGGTGTTTTCCATGTGGTGCTATAGAATAAGGTCAGTTTGAACTTAACAATAATCCTTTCCCAACAAATTCTGCACTCTCCAGTTTACGCCATGTCAAAACATCAGTTTTGGCACCCTCGAGGGGCTCAAGTTGTATTCCTTTGATATGTTCTTTGAGTTTGTGGAACAAAAAGAAGTCTGAAGGGGAAATATCAGGGCTGTAGGGTGGATGGGTTGAGGTTTTGCAACAAAATTCTCACAGTGCAGGGGCACTGTCACTACGGAAACCAAAATGCCTCGATGCAACTTTCCTGGCATTTTCCTCCCCGATGCAGTTGTCAGTTTTCTTCAGACTTCATAGTAAGTCCTGTGACTGTCCTGTGTCCTTCCAGACAATTTATCAAAACAACTCCTTGGAAATTCTCACAGAACAGTCACCAGAACCATATGAGCTGACTTCTCTGCCTTGAATTTAATAGGCCCAATAGATCCCCTCAGAAGCCACTGTTTTTATTGGCTGGTTTGAAGGCCCCTTAATTAGAATAAGACAAGTGTATTCCTGAGGGAATGTATCTGCAGCCATCCACGGATTGCAAAGACAAAACATGCTGAGACAAGTTTTGTTTGTAATAAACCCAAGCACATATGAGCTATAACCCTAGCTGGAATCTCTTTTCTCTTATACTGTAGCAAGTCTGCAGTTGATGTTGTTAAGTGCTGTCGAGTTGATCTGACCCATAGCAACCCTGTATAGGGCTTCCAAGGAGCGACTGGTGAGCTTGAACCGCTGATCTTATGGATCAAACCGTAAGATTGCAGTCCAATGCATTAACCCACAGCACATACATCAAATTATTTTTACATGGGTTATATTCGAAAGCTACAATAAAAAGCAACACATTTACCAGTGAGTACAGCTGTAATTTCTCATGAAAAAGTAACAAAACACTGAGCTGTGATTCTTCAGTCTTGGTTTAGAAAAGGTAAAGGAAGACAGTTCCTCCCGCCCTCAACCAATTCTAGATGCTTTATAGAAACAAGGATACGAATACTTCATAACCAAGACTCAAATCATTTACATTTATTATTATAATTCATTTTGCACATTCCTCTCTAAGTTCTTTTTCCTTGCTCCCAAAATACAATGATTATGAGTAAATGAATGAAGTGCTTCTGAGCCAGAGTAAAATGAATGCAAATCACAAAAATACACTTGGATAAGTTCAATTGCTGTTTTGTAAAATCAGGGTCAATACAACAAAAATCTAATGTTTCTCTTTACTAGAATTTAGTAAATGTAGTATTTATCTCCTTTCTTTAGGTATTGAAATAAAAACAGTTTACTGTTTATTGAGTGTTTAGGCATCTCAGGCACTGTTTTGAACACAGCACATACATGGTTTGTTAAAAGCCTACAAGGTGGACATAATTAACCCTGATTTTGCATTTCTGGAAAACCGAGGCTCAAACAAATCAAGTGATTTCTCCAGGATCACCCAGCTAGTATAGTCAGGTTCTAATTAGGTTCATTTGATTCTAAAATCCATACATTCTATTATGATATATAATATGCGCTCTGTGTCTCAAAACTATTTTTCTTTCTACCCTCACAAATTGTGTAGGATTAACAGAAAATGTAGTCTTATTCTAGTTCCCTGAATATCAAAGGCTTGAAACTATTCTTAATTATCAGGAAAAAGAATGTATTTATTATTAAAAATAACAAATATATAACAATATGTTGTTGTTGTTAACAATGACAATAACCACCACCAAAGGAAACCCACACTATATATGATGGTAGAGTGACGAGATTAAGGCCATCATTTTCTTTAGATGTCTCAGTGAAAAGCATATGTGGCCAGAATGAAACACAGCTGGCTCAAAGCCTGACCTTGATACAAAATGGAGATCAAAGAACTCAAAGGTTATCATATAAAATCACTTCAGGTACCACCCCCATCTGTCCCTAGGGATACCTTATTGGAGGTGTGAATACAAATGGAACAGCACAAGGTGGGAACCCCAAAGAACCGAGGAGAGCTACCCCATAGGGTTTCCAGAAGCCTTAGCAGAAAACCACATCTTTCTGCCAAGGGGCAGCTGGTTCATTCCAACCGTCAGCCTTTCGTTTAACCACTGTCCACCGGCACTCTTTAATTTAAATGAACTAATAATCATATGGAGTCCTGGTGTAGCGCTGTGGGCTAATGCACTGGACTGCAAAGTCATTTGAACCACAGCATTGGTGGTTCAAGCTTACCAGCCGCTCCTTGGAAACCCTATGCAGGGTCGCTATGGGTCAGAATCGACTTGACAGCACTTAACAACAATAGTCATGTATAATGAAGTTAACGGAAAACGTTAACCATCACAGAAAAATCGTAACGTTCTTTAAAGAACTACTCAATGAGAAAAGTACAAAAAGAGAAATGTCTCCTCAATTAACACGTAAGGAAAGAGCAGCTGAAGGGCTGAATGTTTTATTATCACAAGCAAGTTTTCCTTATTTCTGCTATTATACCCGAACACGTTGTTATTGTTGTTAAGTGCCATCTAGTCATAGCGACCCTGAATGGGGTTTCCAAGGAGCAACTGGTCAGTTTGAACAGCCGACCTTGAAGTTCAAACTGACCTTGAGGTCAAGTGCTTCTTCTACTGGCCCACACCAGGACTCCTTACAGGTAGCTAAAGTGAATATTAATAGGAAAGTTGTTCCCCACAAAACTGAAAAGACAAATGGAGAAACCTTGTTCTTAGGTGTCTTTCAGTTGGTTCCAATACATAGCAACCTATGCATAACAAAACAAAACACTGCTTAGTCCAGCAGCTTCCTCAAAATTGTTAAGTTTGAGTCCATTGCTGCATTGAAATTATTAACTCTTTCTATGGCCCACAGAGAAACAGAAGTCCTGGTGTGGCACTTGAATAAGAACTGGACTGTTGTGAGGTTGGTGGTTCAAACCCATCAGTTGCTCCTTGGAAACCCCATGCAGAGTTGCTATGAGTCATAAGCGACTTGAGGGCACGAAACAGTAACAGTATAGAGAAACTGACTTGTCAGCCCGCATTCATGACACTCTCAGGGGAATGAGGATAGGCAGGATAACTTGTTGTTGTTGCTAGGTGTTGTTGAGTTAGTTCCGACTCATAGCAATCCTGTGCACAACACAACAAATCACTGCCCGGTCCCACACCATCTTCACAACTGCTGCTATGCTTGAGTTCATTGTTGCCACCACTACGCCAATCCCTCTCAATGGGTCTTCTTTTTGGCTGACCCTCCACTTGACTAAGCACTTGACTAAGTCCAGGGACTGGAGAACAAGTCACTGAAAACAAGGCCTGTGCATGTGAGATGAAGTCTCTCTATCCTCACTTCTACGGAGCATTCTGACTGTACTTCCAATATAGATTCCTTTGTTCTTTGTCAGTCCGTGGTACTTTTAATGTCCTTCCCCAACACCAGAACTCAATGCATCAATTCTTCTACAGTCTTCCTTACTCACTGTCCAACTTTCACATGCATATGAGGCAATCGAAAGTACAATGGTTTGGGTCAAATGCAACTTAGTCCTCAAACTGACATCTTTGCTCTTTAACACTAAATAGGTCTTGGCAGCAGATAGATATGCCTAATGCCTAATATTGTTTCATTTCTTGACTTCTGCTTCCATGAGTTTTGACAGTAGATCCAAGAAAAATGAAATCTTTGACAACTTCAATCTTTTCTCCATTTATCATGATTTTACTTTCTGGTCCAGTGGTGAAGATTTTTGTTTTCTTTACTATGTTGAAGTCTTTGATCTCCATTAGTAAGTGTTTTAAGTCCTTTTCATATTCAGCAAACTAGGTTGTATCATCTACATATCACAAGTTGTTAATGGGTCTTCCTCCGTACGGATGCCATGTTCTTCATATTATCTGGCTTCTTGAATTATTTGCTCAGCATACAGGTTGAATATGTATGGTGAAAGAATACAACCCTAGAGCACACCTCTTGTAACTTTAAACCATTCCATGTCCCCTTGTTCTGTTTAAAGACTGCCTCTTGTTCTGTGTTTAAGTTTCTCATGAGCACAAGTCAGTGTTCTGGAATACCAAGTCTTCACAATGTTATCCATAACTTGTCATGATCCACACAGTCGAAAGTCTTTGCACAGTCAATAATGCACAAGTAAACATTGTTTCTGGTATTCTCTGCCTTCAGCCATGATCCATCTGCTAGCAGCAATGGTATCCCTCTTTCTACATCCTCATTTGAGTCTGGTTTGAACTTCTGGAAGTTTCCTGTCAATGTACTCTTGTAGCCATTTTAAAATTATCTTTACCAAAATTTTACTTGCATGTGACATGAATGATATTGTCTGATGAGTTCCACATTCCACTGGGTTACCTCTGTTTAGAATGGGCACAAATATGGCTCTCTTCCAATCAGCTGGCCAGGTAGCTGTCTTCCAAAATTCGAGGCAGAGATGAGTGAGTGGCTCCAGGGCTGCATCAGTCTGCAGAAAGATTTCAATTTGTGTTGCATCAATTCCCGGAGACCTGTTCTTTGCCAGTGCCTTCAGTGCAGCATGAACTTCTTCCAGTTCCACTGGCTTTGATCATCCTGAAATGACTGAGCAGCAACCATTTCTTTTTGGTACAGTGACTCTGTGTATTTCTTTCATCTTCTTTTGATATTTTACATCATTCAACATTTTACCCATTGTTGTTGTTAAGTGCCATCGAGTCGATTCCAAGCCATAGCGACCCCATATAGGGCTTCCAAGGAGTAGCTGGTGAGCTTGAACCACAACCCTTGCAATTCAAATGACTGCAGTCTGACTGACGCACTGGCCCACAGCACCACACCAGGATTCCCTAATGTTGTTGTTGTTGTTGTTATGTGCCGTGGAGTTGGTTCCGACTCATAGCGACCCTGTACAGGGTTTCAGAGGCTGTAAATCTTTATGGGAGCAGAAAGCCTAAGCACCACTAAATTGGTTCTGACTTAATAAGTGACCCTACACAGGGCTTCTGAACCTTCAGATCTTTGTGGAAGCATAAAGCCTCATCTTTCCCCCGTGGAGCAGTAGGCACATTAGAACTGCGGACCTCGTGGTTCACATTCCAGTGTCTGCCATATGGAGCCACCGCGCCACCCTTCAATATTGCAAGTCGAGGCTTGAATTTCATCTTCAGCTCTTCCAGCTTGAGAAATGCTGAGCATGTTCTTCCCTTTTACTTTCCTAACTCCAGGTAATTGCACATTTCACTGTAATACTTGACTTTGTCTCCCGGAGCTACCCTTTCAGATGTTCAGTTCAGCTCTTTTACCTCCTCACTTCTTCCACTTGCTTTTAGTAACTCTATGCTGGAGAGCAAGGTTCAGAGTCCTTTCTGATATCCATTTTGGTCTTTTCCTTCTTTCTTATCTTTTTAAAGATCTTTTGCTTTCTTACTATATGATTATCTTGATGTCATCACACAACTCTTTTGGTCTTTGGTTATTAGTGTCTTACATATCAAATCTGTTCTTGAGATAATCCCTAAATTCAGGGGTATGTTGAAGGTCATATTTCAGCTCTTGTGGACTTGTTTTAATTTTCTTCAGCTTCAGCCTGACCTTCCATATGAGCAATTGCCTCTGGCCTTGTTATTGCTAATTATATGGGGCTTTTCCATCTCTTCCTGCGGATGTCGTCAATTTGATTTCTGTGTATTCCATCTGGTGAGCTTCATGTAAAAATGGTATTTGCAATGAAGAAGTCATTGGCCTTGCAAAATCGTATCATGTGATTTCCAGCATCGTTTCTATCACCAAGGCCATATTTTCCAACTACTGATTCTTCCTCTTTGTTTACCTACCTTATCATTCCAAACACCAGTAATGATCAATATATCTTGATTGCATGTTTGAACAATTTCAGAATGACAAAGCTGGCAGAATTCTTGACTTTCATCATCAATGGTTTTAGTGGTTGATACATAAATTTGAATAATGGTGGTATTAATTGATCTTCCTTGTACGTGTATGGATATCATCCTATCATAGAAAGCATTATACATCAAGATATATTATTAAATGTTCTTTTTGATGATTAATGCACCACCAATCCTCAAGTTGTCATTCCTGACACAGTAAACCACGTGACTCTCAGATTCAAAATGGCCAATACCTGTCCATTTCAGCTCACTAATGCCTACGATATGGTACAGCACCGTAGCGCCTTAAGCACTTGACCTCAAGGTCGGTTTGAATTGCAAGGTCGGAGGTTCAAATTCACCAGTCATTCCTTGGAATCCCTATACAGGGTTGCTATGAGTCAATCAGCTTGACGGCACTTCACAACAACAACGCCTAGGATAACAATGGTTATTCATTCCGTTTCATTTTTGACAACTTCCAATTTTCCTAGATTCACTTCATGTATTCCATGTTCCAGTGATTCATGAATGCTTACAGCTGTTTCTTCGCATGCTGAGTTGTGCCCATCAGCAAATGAAGGTTCTGAAAGCTTTCCTCCTTTTGTGGCATCATGGTCAACTCTACTTTGAGGAGGCAGCTCTTTCCCAGTCATAATCTGAGTGGCTTCCAACCTGAGGGGCTCATCTTCCAGTACGGTATGTGACAATATTCTGGTACTATTCATAATGTTTCCATAGTCAGTACTCTGGTCCTGACAGCGTTCTACTGCTAGTCATAATATTTTCAGTGGTTAAACATTCAGAAGTCGTCCGTCTCTCCTTCTTCCTAGTCTGTGTCTTACTCTGGAAGCTCAGGAAACCTGTTCTCCATGGGTGACCCAGCTGGTATTTAAAATATCAGTGGCAGAGCTTCCAGAATCACAGTCACCACAGTATGACACACTGACAGATGAGTGGCGGAAGTATGAAAACATATGATGAGAATTCTCTTTTTAATCAAAATGAAAAAATTCCTATATTTACAGAGCTGATCTTTGAGGTTTGCTGAACCAAAAGGAGAATCAAAAGTCTTCCTGTGAAAACGGTTCTTACCTTCCAAAGGCATTTAAAAGAGCAACGATTTCCTGTCGAGTGAGTTGGAAGCCTTTAGATGGGCTGTTCTCAGGAAGCTTTTGAATTTCTTTTTCAGAGAATAATATTTTCAGAGCAGCTCCTAAACCTTGCGTCTACAGAAAATAGCAATAAAGTTATAATTAAATGTATGCAATCACTATAAAGGTTTAAAGGAATATTCAATACTATGATGACAATCAAGAAATTCATATAAATTAAGCTTTTCACTCAAATGGTTAAACCACATAAACAGACACTGTTTAAAGAGCTTGTTATTGTTATCTGCTGTCAAGTTTATTCTATCTCATGGTGACCACCCTTCCCTTCCATCCACAAGGTCAGAGTACAAATGCCCTACTAGGTTCCCAATGGCTATGGCTTGGTGGAAGCAGATCACCTCCAGACCTGTTTTCCCAGGCACTTCTGGGTGGGTTTGAACAGTGAACCTTATGGAGTCGAGCCCTTGGTTGTGCACACAGGGAATCATTAAGATTAAACTATTCAACTTAGTTTTAAAAACAGAAAGTACGGGTTTCCCACCAGAAATAAAAGTCCTTACCATTTCTACTTCCTCATAGACATACATAGTATACATTTACCTACGCATTTAAGGGAACATGAAGCATTTAACACTTGCACATACACTAAAAGGTGTTTTGTTTTGTTTTTAATATCTAAAAACAGGCTTAAAGGTTAGAGCTTTAGTGTTCTAAATGTAATTTGAAAAGCATTTCTTAGTATCCTTTTTAGGTGCTGTCAAGAGAATTCCAACTCTTTACAAGCCTATGCCCAACAGAAGCAAACACTGCCCAGTCACTGTGCCAGTCCTCACTGCGTGTCTTCCTAATTTTTGCTGATCCTCTACTTTTATCAGGCTAGGTACCTTATAGGACTGGCCCCTCCCAATGGCATGCCTAAAGTGTGTGAGACAATGTCTTGCGATTCTCACTTCTAAAGAGCATTCTGGCTGTTATTTCTTCCAAGACCGATGTGTTCACTCTTTTAGCAGTCCATCAGGTGACCAACATCATAATCCTTCTTCGGTCTAATTCATGTCTAGCTTTCACATGTATACGAGGGGACTGAAAAGATCATGGCTTGGGTCAGACACCTTAGTCCTCAAAGTGATATTTTTGCTTTTTTAATATTTTACAGAGGTCTTTTGCAGCAGGTCTGTCTAATGCAACCCATGTGGTTTGGTTTCCTGACTGCTGCTTCCATGAACACTGATTATGAACCCAAGTACAATGAAATTCTTGACAACTTCAATCTTTTCTCCATTTGTCGTGATGTTCCTTATTGGTCCAGTCGTGGACCAATGAGAGTGTGAACACGTATTTGTCTAGTTGAGGATTTCTGCTTTATTCACTGAGATATAATCCATGTTGAAGGCTGTCTGTTGTCTTGGATCTTCATCTGTAGTGCTTCAAGTACTCTTCCCTTTTACAAGAAAGGTGGTGTCATCTTCCGTATTGCTGGTTGTTACAGCATATCCCTCCAATCCTGAGGCCACCTTCTTCAGTTTCTTGCTAAGCATTCTTCAGTTCATAGACCAGCTTCTGGGATGATCTGCTCAGCATACAGAATTAGTAAGTATGGTGAAAGGACACAACCCTGATGAACCGGTTTCCTCATATGAAACCACACAGTATCCCCTGTTCTGTTTGAACTCCTGCCTCTTGGTCTGTGTTGTTGTTAGGTGCCACTGAGTCAGTTCCAACAGAACGAAACACTGCTGGGTCTGGTACCAGCCTCAAAACTGTTGTCATATTTGAGCCCATTGCGCCTTGGGGGTCTTCCTCTTTTTTTAATGACCCTCTACTTTGTCAAGCATGATGTCCTTTTCCCAAGGACTAGTCCCGCCTGATGATATGTCCAAAGTATGTGAGATGAAGCCGTGCCATCCTGGCTTCCAAGGAGCATGTGCCTGAAGTGCTTCCAAGGCAGATCTGTCTGTTCTTCTGGCAGTCTGTAGGACTTTCAGTATTCTTCACTACCACCATAACTCAAATGCATCAAGTCTTCTATGGTCTCCCTTATTCATTGTCCAGTTTTTTCATACAGATTTTGCTGTTGTTAAGTGCTTCCAAGTCGGTTTTGACTCATAATGACCCTGTGTAGGGTTTGCAGTTCAAATCGACCTTGTGGCCCAGTGCATTATCCTGCGATTCCAAACCAGAACTCTCACGTGCATACAGGGTGACTGAAAATACCATGGCTTGGGTCAGGTGTACTTTAGTCCTCAAACTGACTTCTTTGTACAGGCTACATGTGAACACAATTAAGTGTTCAGGAATTTCCATTCTTCATACTGCTATCCTTAATTCATTATAATCCACATAGTCGAATGCCTTGGCATAATCAATGAAACAAAGATAAACATTGTTCTGGTATTCTCTGCTTTCAGCCAAGATCCATCTGATGTCAAAAAAGGGTATCTCTCCTTCCATGTCCTCTTAAGAATCAGACTTGGTATCTGGCAGTTCCCTATAAATGTACTGCTGCAACCAATTCTGCACTATTTACAGAAAAATTACGCATGCATGGGATATCAATGACGCTGTTTGACAACTGCCTCATTCTGTTGCGTCATCTTTCTTGGGATGGCACTAATAACTCTCAGTCGGTTGGCCAGGTAGCCGTTTTCCAAATTTCTGGACATAGATGAATGAGCACCTCCAGTGCTACATCTGTTTGCTGATGCAATTCAAGCCTCAGAGATTATTCAAGAAACTAACACTTAATAATCTCTCAGCTATGTGCACTAAAGAAAAAAGAAATCTGTTTTAAGTGTTGTTATCATCCATTGCTAGTCAGTCAGCCCTCAACTCATGGTGACCTGGGGCACCATGTAACAAAATGCTGCCCATGCATGTACCTCCATCATGACGTCTGGGGTTCAGTGACGACTGTTAGGAAGCAGATTGACAAGACTTTATGCTTAGTCCATCTCACTTGGGAAGCTGCCCTGAAACCTGCTCAGCATCATAGCAGCAAGCCAGCCTCTGCTGACAAATGGCAGAGAGGCTACGCGTGAGGGGCACCAGCCAGGAATCGAACCCACATCTCTCTCATGAAAGGCAAGGTTCTGTTAATGAACTACCAATGGCTTGTTTTAAGTGCAGCTCCCATTAAAAGAATTCTCTATCTCTTGATTTTCTATGACTTTTTAATCTTTGTAAGAGCATAGATAAAATATCAAACAATCATTTTTACACTGAACGTAAGAGGGGCTTCAAACAGTTGTGGGAAAATCAAAGTAAAAAGATCATGGAATTTTTCTACATACATTTTGAAGTCCACACCTTGAATTTTCCTGTTTTTAAACTATAATTCAATGAACAATGAAGATTTTAAAATACAAACTTACAACTTCTCAGTGACAAAGTTAAGAGTAGCAATGGTTTGACAACAGAGAAGAAAACACGCACCTGTAATTTCCCCCACAATCTGCACTTGTCACATCCAACACAGTCCATTATACGAGAGATATTCCTGAAATGGAGCCGGAATTCCTCCTAACGTACAGAAAAGAGTTTCATTTTAATTAGGCTTCTAAAGCTAAATTGCACTTGAAATACAAGAAATAAAAAATGAAGCTCATTAATTAATGAGCTGTGCTTTCCATAGTCAATATGAAAAATATTTGAATTTTATATGGTGTGACCTGGCAAATAAAACTGACATATGGAAATCTGCAAAATTCAGTCCCCATATCAATTCAACAAGTTAAATTTTGTTATTGATGAACTCGTCTATGTAATCCACCAAGATAGGCACTGTGGGAAGACACGAAAATAAATAACTTAGTCTTGACTTTTAAGGACCTTAATTGTTGCATCTATTTGACATCTGCATACAACCGATAGCAAATTCATCTATTTTACGATTCTTTCTCTTTTTCTCCATGTTTGCTTTGTGTGTGCCTCAATCTGAATGCTGGTTCTAAGAAACGACCCGTTGTTGAGTCTGGGCCTGGAAAGGGTGCACAGTCAGCACTGCTGACGGCCAACTGCAGCAGCTCTCTGGGCCTGCCAACGCAGGTGTTGTGGGGGTGCTTTCTGGGGGTACATTCCTTCACAGGGAGGCTTCTGCTTGTGAGTATCTGTGCATGCTTTCCCATGACTCTCAGATGCCTTTCATCTGACCTGAGGTTTCCTGAGCTGTTTTGCATGTTGGAAAATTAAAAATTGAAAAGCATTTTATTGCACTGATATAAATATTTTAAAGCTGATGGTAAGCATCCTGAAAAATCTGGCCACCAGAAGAAGCCTTTCCCAGCTGCCTAGAAGGTTGAGAGGAATCCACACCTGGGCCCAAAAGACAGCTCTCCCCAGTCTCAGGAGTGGATGGGAAAATGGACTTGAGCTCTCCTTTATACACCCTCTGAAAGCCGCAAACAACGCCTCTAGCACTGTGCTGCTGAAAGGCTAGTTCTCAGACCCTGAGCCTTCCTCAGCTTACTTCCCTCACCTACACACATGTCCATTTCATAGCTGTTCTATCTACTACATGTGGGCCCTGTCAGGGTCAAAAGAATATTTGCATACGTGCTTATAAGAGTCAACAGTATATTAAACACGAAACAGCAGACATGCCTCTACAACAACTATATGCCAAAACACCCACTCAAAATACAGCAAGCTGCTGTTGCTAGATGCTACTGAGTCCATTCCTACTCCTGACGGCCCTACGCGTGCAGAGCAGACAGCCCAGGGTTCTCAAGGCCAGGGCTTTTCAGAAGCACATAGCCAGACTGGTCTGCCAGTGCTCCTTGGGGTGGTTTCAACTGCCAACTTTCAGGCTAGCAGTTGAGCATCTGACCATTTGCACCACACAGAGACTCCAAAACTCGATATGCATACTCCTCCTCACATATCACCTAGCTCTTTACCGGACACTTTGAATTTACGGCACTAAAGAAAACATCTACTATCTATTCTGAGCATGAACCAGTGGCCTAGGTGAGAAGGGAAGGCTTGTGAGAGGGAGTGAGACCATGTGGGTGGCTAGGGTGGAGGACCAAGGCGAGCCATGGTGAACACAGGGTGGGCAGGTGGTATGCAGGAAGTGAGGGGAGAAGGTAGTGGGAGCTGGAGCTCAAGGAGGCTGCCCAGATGGCTGCGTCTCACCTGCCCTCAAGCCCAGGTGTTTCCTGCCTCCAAGGCCGTCCCCAGAGACTGAGGAGTAGGCAGCTGGAGAGGAACGGGGGCGGGGCAGCCTAGGGATGGTGCAGTCCTGCTGCCCCAGAGGCAACCATAAACGCCACAGCCATCACCTCCAACCACCATGGGGAAGACATGGTGGGCACAGAGCCCAGAATGCCACACACATCCCGAGAGGCCATGGGGCTAGGTGCTGGACGGGGGAGTGTGGGCACGAGAGACAGGCATGGCCCAGACTCTTACAGAACATTGATCTTTTTTGCATGGTGGATTTTATTTGCAATGAAATATTTTTAATTTTTACTTTTTCCATCATGCAGAAAAGATCCGTGTTATGCTTCTGCGTAACAGCCTGATCTACAGAGCCATGCCAATCGGTGAGGAGTGGGTTACAGCTGAACCAGATTACTTGCGTCACTTCAGAAATACCAAAACATTCACCAGCAGAGAGCCACTCAACACTAACTTAATCACTAGTACACTGCATCCACAGCTGCAATATCTTGGGGCCCAATGTCTCTCAGAAATGAGAAGTTTCCAGATTTTAGAACTACACCTCAACAGAGTACCTGGCAACACTGTATAATAAAAAACGTTCTTTATGTTTCTGTAGTACCAAACACACGAAAAAGAGTTCCGTTTCTAGAGTGTTTTGAAATTTCAAATCTCATCTCTTAGTCCTGTACTAGAATAATTTTTGTTAATTTCAACTATTTCCATGAATCCTTCCTTAATTTACAGTGTTGTTGCTGCTGAGTTGGTTCTGACTCATGGACACCATGTGTGTAGGACATAACTGCTTGATAGGGTTTTCAAGGCCGAGGCCTTTCAGAGTAGATTGGCAGGCTGTCTTCTGAGGTGCCTCTGGGTGGCAGGTAGTCTAGTACTTAACAGTCTGTACTACTATAAGCAAATGAAAACAAAGTAAAGAAACCCTGGCATGAAGTTGGAATTATCCTAAAATATGTGTTATCTTTGTGATATCACAGCTTAGTATTTTTTGCTTTTTATGTTCGTTCATAAAGAAAAGACATAATCACTTCAAAGTATGTAACATTCTATAAGTAATCTTTAGAAAAATATTCTAGTTATTTCCTCAAAGTGACTAACAGCTGATGATGTTCGAACGATGGATCAGAACAGTAATACACACTGGGCTTTTTAAGTCAGAGTACGAAAATTTTAAAGGATTTTCTCTCCAAATAATCTGTAATCTTTGAGAAGGAAAGACATTTACAAAGGTGTCACCATTATTGGACACGGTCCTGACTGAAGATTCACTAAGGAAGTAGCTACATCAGAAAGGGCAACGGAGCTAAGTAGGAATTTCAGAGAGGGTATTTTGTATCATTTAAAGTAAAATCCATTCAAACAGATTTCAACAAGTTAGAGAACTGAGAATAAAAAGAATTTACACAAACCAGATTACAATAAAACTAGTAAACTTCCCCACCTAGTCCCCCAATCAAGACCCTTTTACCTTTAGTGATTTGGCTCCCTTTTTGTCTCCTGCAAACATGGATTTCTCATCAAAGTGCATGGGAAAGGACCTGGTGAAGTGACAACAATAAGCTACGGATGAGAATCCCAAGACTGAGCTCTGGCAGAATATCCCAGCCCTACAAATACTCAAAATTCATTATTTACCTATGTGTACAGTGAAGTAAAGTAGGAAGTGATAAACAGTTTACATACAAATAATTCAATAAAAGACTAAATAAAGCAAAATATAGATAGCTTTGTAACTCATAGGACTAATGTTTTAATGAAAAATAACATGCTAAAATTGGTAGCAAGAACATTGAAAGTATCAATAAATTTTGATACTGTTATTGTAGACAGCCGTCAACTCTAACTCATAATGACTCTGTACAGGGTTTTCGAGGAGCAGGTGGTGGGTTTGAACCGCCGGCCTTGTGGTTTGCAGTCCAGTGCTGATCCTACAGTGCCACACTATATAAAATTTTTAATTTAAATTTTAAAATATCAGCCTATTCTAGGCACTTATACAGAGACCAAGTTTTGTTAGTGACAACAGGGGTGAGAGGAAGTGCAAAGAGTCACTATTTAGGAAGCAATGAGTTGCTGTTTATGGGAAATTTGGCAACAATTGTACAACATGATTAATGTATCTAATGCCACTAAACAGTACAGGTGAAAAACCCAAATATTTTCTTACATATTTTCATAGCAATTTAAAAAACACCCTAATCAACAATGAAGTTAATAGATATTTTTCAGTCTGCATTTTAAACAATATTAAAAAATAATGTTCTGTTGATAATTTTTTTTCTCTGCCCAAATTCTCCCTTTCCCTAACTTTCAGAAGTAAGTTTTTGTTATATTTTAAGAGCTACCACATTCCTATAATATTAGCAGAAATTTTGAGATCACTAGTATTCAGTTCTTACTTTGTGTCTTGGAAGATGCTCAGTAGAAGGGCTTTTGTGTCAGCGTCTTCTTCTATATTCCCAGTGTAAAGATCAACAATGGAGCGCTCAAAATATGGGGCCACTTTTGATAAAGCTCGAAGTTCAATTAGGTATAAGAAGTAGAGATTCTTTAGTCTTCTGGGACCTTCTCCCTTAGTTTCCACAGGGTCAAAGCGGCATTTAAACTCTTTAATATTGTGTCCCCAACTAGGTTTACCCCAGGTTTCTAAAGAGAAAGAGAAACAGATCACATTCTTTAAATAAGATTTTCTGAACTTTATAGAGAATATGTACTGCTGGCAATAGTTTTCAAACAAAGAGACGAGAAAAGTTTCTATCTAAAAGACTGCTTACCTTCCAAAAGATAATTGGCACACAGATGTATATTGATACTAGCATGAAGTCCTGATATAAGCTTATAGAAGACTCTTTTCTCCAGACACAAACCTATTTGAAAAAATATTAAAAAGAAATCACCTCATTTAGATCTCAGAAATATTGAATCGAAGAGATTCAGTACTTAGTCTGTGTTTTTCAAGTTAATATTCAACAATAATAAAGATAAGTGAAAATTATAAAACAAACCAAGATTTTCTCACTAGAAGATAAAATTATAATTCTGGCTTCAGGATGGAGTCAGCTGTGTAGGCTGAGAACTTAGTGCATTATTGGTTTGGGTAACTGGAAACAGTGGACAGAAAGGTCTGGCCTATTGGAGGTCCAAATACCATCCATGGAGCTGGACAGATCCCAGAAGGCAACAACACAGATGGTTTAGAAAAAAAAAGGTTAATGTTAAGAACATACTAAAGCAAATCTAACTATAAAGTCACTGTGTTGAATTAATAGTAACTATCCTCTTCCTTTCTCTGACCCTTCGTGATAGTTTCTGTTATTTCTACCCTTTAGAACTAAATTCCATTTTTTTCTCCAAATTACTTACTGTGCCTTATTAATTCTCTGCTTTGAAATTCCTTAATTCTACTTAATTTTACATTCTACCTTTAAGAAGCCAAAACCTGGAAAACAGATACCCAGGAATTTCAACTACTACAAAATTATGTGAGGGGAATTTTAGAAGTATTGCTATAAAGTCATAAAAACCTTTATTTAGCAAAAGTATCAAAATGTGAAAACTACTGTTTCTCTAGACCCCGCACCTAGGTCTACCCTATTTCCATCTGAAGGCGTGTTTCCATCTCTCTAAACTGCTCATTCTCTGAGGGTAGCAAGGGCTGTCTTACAACAATTTCATTGGCAAACATTACTTTATCTACTCTACAGCTCTCATTTTACCCCTCCAAGACTTCTTTTTGTCTCCAAACTAAAAGAACACTGAAAAGGAACAAGATTTGAATCCCCCAAAGATGACAAAACTGCTACTTTAATGTGCTATAAATTGAAGAGCTCAAATTCTTCAGGGAATCATTAGAGAGACAAAAGTGCCACCTTCAAAAGTGTACAGATGTTGATGGAAGACATATCGAGAAACAACACCTTCTCATTTTGACCTTTTAGCTTCATACAGGTTTCTATATCTCAGTGCAGTGGCTGCACCAAGGGGTCCAACAGAGAAGCGATTGTGAGGGGGGTGCAGGACCAGCCTCTGTGGTATATAGGGTCCCTAGGAGTAGGAAACAACTCAATGGCTCTAACAACACCAACATGGGCTTGTAGCAATACTTTTTGACTAACCCTCCTAGAGAATGGAATAAGATGGAAAAGTAGTTGTGAATCCCTTCAGACAGTGCCTGGCCTGTATAGTTTTAGAACACTGGTTTCTGGCTAGTTAATAGTCTCAGAAATTCCAAATGACAATAGCCCCAAATATCACCACTTATTTTCTTCCAAACACTAAGTTAAGTGTATCTTCCAAACTCTTCAGTACTTTGTTGTTGTTGTTTTCACAAGAAGCCAATACATTTAAGATGCAGACATTAAGTTTACCTTCGAGCCATGTATAAAATGATTCTCCTGGAAATTAAAGAAAGCACTGGGTTAACATATTAAAAATTGTTATCCACAAATCAGAATAAATATTATGATCTATTAAGTACCATCTCTGTAAATTTGTATTAAGCGGGAAAATAGGCATGTGGGTTAGACAACATAACTGACAAGTAATTTCAGTAATACTGAGAACGCTTTTATAAATGGTATCTTAAACCATTACAATTTGGAGAAAACACTCTATTTCAATGAGAACATGAAGTAAATCTTATCCATTAAAAGGTGTAAAGATTAAAGCCACAGGGTGGACGGTGGAGGAGAGTTCAGCCATCTTGTATTTGCTTTTGATGATAATAACCACAGCACTTTTAAAAAAATTCTCTAAACAGATAGTGAATTATAATTAACACAAAACTCCAATGACTAATTATCCCCTTTATTATCTAAGACTACTGAGTTTTTAATGGTAATTTTAAAATCTCTTAATTTTCAAGACAATGCTCCAGTGAAGTTTAATAAAGTAAGGAAGGCTTTCACTCTCTGTACACTAATAGTAAAAGAACTATTTCTGGCCTAATACTGTTCTTCTGAATTTAAAAAAAAAAAAAAAAAGATGGTCGTCAGTAAGAATCAAAACTCTTATTAACGGGGATTTCCTCACTTATCTTTTCTTATTAATTCTTGTTTTAACTGAGAAAGCATGGTAAGAAAAACCTAACACAGAGTGGAGCAGAGCACGGAGTCTCAGAGCTACATCATCTGATGGTGAGGGATGAATGGCTTTTCCTCCTGACAATTTTCACACTTGGAAAAAGAAGGCAAATATCTTCCTATAGATCCATTCATTCATCAGTAAGGATCAGTCATCATTACAGAACTTGTTAACTCAAACAATGTCAACTCTGTCAACATGGTAAGTCTAATTCCCTCTTTGCATCATTTTCTCCCTGAAGTGCACAGTGTCCTCTCAGCTACCATTGTGAGTCAGCTGGCGGTTGAACCTACCCAGAAATGCCATAAAGAAAGGCTTGGCTATCTGCTTCCATAAAGGTTACAGGCAAGAAGTCCCATGGAGCAGTTCTGACTGGGAACAACACGGTGTTACCATGAGGAGGAAGTGACTCAACAGTATTAAGTGTCTTTCTCCTTGTTCAATGTAAGTTCTTCCTACTGTTCAGTTGATCCTCCCAAACGTACTTGACTTTTCCTTTCTCAACTCCTAGGTTCCCGCTAATTCCTTTAGCTAGCATGTACTTTTCAATTTAACTGAGCTGATCTGCCCGTTATTCAAAATTCTGTTCCAGTGATCCTCTTCCGTTAAGCTTTCCTCGACCATTGCAGTGAGAGACCATTTGTTCCATCTCTAAAGGGCTACATCATCTACTGTTTGTCTATGTATGTTGTTGTTGTGTTGCTAAGTGCCTTCCAGTTGGATCCGACTCACAGAAACCCTGCACAGTGTTTCCAACGTACAACTGGTAGGTTTGAACTGCCAACCCTAAGGTTCACAGTCCAGTGCTGATTCTACCAGGAGTCCATATGCAGTAGTAGTACTGATTTACGTCATTATTCAGGTCTAAAACCCGACACACTGCCATTAAGGTAATTACGACTCACAGTGACCCACTGTTGTTGTTGTTGTTGTTAAGTGCCATCGAGTCAGTTCCCACTCACAGCGACCCTGCCTAGGGTTTATGAGGAACAGCTGGGGAGTTCGAACTGACAGCCTGGCAGTTCAAAGCGACCTTGAGGTCGAGTGCTTTTCCTACAAGGCCACACCAGGACTCCATAGTGACCCTTCAGAGCACAGAGTAAAACAGACTCATGGGAGCAGAGTGCCGCATTTTCTCCTAGAGTGGCTGTGGGTTCAGGCCACCAACCTTTCAAGCAGCAGCTGAGCACTTCAGCAGGAAGCCAGCAGGGTTCCTTTATTTAGGGATGCTTTGTTGTTGGACCCTGAGGTCCATGCTGGAGCCCATTGCTGCTGCCACTGTGCCAACCCATCTTGTTGGGGAGCTTCCTCTTTTTCATCATATTAAGCATGACGTTCTTTCCCAGGGACTGGTCTCTCCTGACTATATGTCTGAAGTATGAGAGAGCAAGTCTCCTCAGCCTGGCTTCGAAGGACCATTCCGGATGTACTTTTTCCAACACAGATTCGTCTGTTCTTCTGATGGGACTTAGACAGTACTCTTCTCTAACACCATAACTCAAATGAATTGCTATTTCTAGAGTCTTTCACCTGTATCTGAGGCTATTCAAAGTATCATGGCTTGGATTAGGCGCATTTTAGTCCTCAAACGACATCTTTGTTAGTGAACATTTTAAGAGGTCTTGTGCAACAGATCTGCCTAATGCAACACTCGTTTGATTTCTTGTCTGCTGCTTCCATGAATGTTATTGGTGGATTCAAGCAATGGTGAGTTGGAACTTGTGGCTGTGAAAGACTTCATTGACGTCTTTGACAGCTTCAATCTTTTCTCATCTTATCATGATGTTATTTATTGGTCCAGTAATGAGGATTTTTGTTTTCTTTACATTGAGGTGCAATCCATCAGTAAGCATTTTAACTTCATTTTTACTTCCAACAAGAGGATAAATTAATTATTTGCATTGTCACCGGTAGTCTTCCTCCAATCCCGATGCCACGTTCTTCCTCATGTAACACAGCATCTCGGATTATCTGGACTTTTGTTCAGCACAGAGACTGAATAAGTAGGATGAAAGAATACAACCCTGGCATACACCTTTCTTGATTTTAAACCATTCAGTAGCCCCTTGTTCTGTTCAAACGACTGCCTCTTGGTCTAGGCATAGGTTCCTCATGAGCACAATTGAGTTTATAGTGTATATAATTTCTGCTAGTTACTACCAGCTCCTAGAGCTTGGGTGTGCATCATATTTCATACTTCCTTCAAACTTTCACAAGTCCTGTCATAATGTTCTTGAACACAGACAAATAACTATCCATTTATCTTTATTTATGGCTGTTTGGGGGTACTTTATGATCCACATTCATTCGGTAAGCAATTGTTGATAACTTGTTGATAAACTTTCTAATTTAATTTAATATAAAATGACTACATATATGGAAATATAAAGGACTTTATAGCTAATATTTTGTTAGAAAAAAATAGCAAACTGAAGAACAACATAACCCCATTTATGTAAAAATAAAGACGCATACAATCTATATATAACATGGTTATAATTGAAGTTACAAACTTCAAAGTCAGTAAGAAAGTAAAGGAGTTGTAAGATAAATTATCTGGCAAAATTGCCTTTTATCAGTTTCTCTTCATTTGCTCAGAATGTATCAAATAAATTATAAAAACTGGAAAATAACCTAGAATGCATACCTACTTTCTAAAGACTTAGGAAAAATAGAGTTTAAATTATTTTTTATAACATAGGATAACTTTATAAGAAAATGCTTTTATTTTTAAATTGTTATCATTCACTGAGAGCTATTCTGTGTGTGTGGGGTGGGGTGGGGGGAGGCATTAAATAGAAGAAAACTCAAATTTTGATACTTAAAAACATTCCTTTACCCTTGACAAACACAGCCACAAGTTCCAACTCACCATCATCTTTTCCTGAAACAGAGGATAATAAAGAAGAACTTTAGAGAAAGTTTTACACAACTCATTGTCTACTTTTATTACATATGGGAGGCACATTTCCTGTTTGCTAGCCTATTACTTTTACCAGGAATCTCAGTTAACAAAACACACACTTACTGCCACCGAGTCGGTTTCGACTCGCAGTGACCCTGTATAGGGTTTCTGAGGCTGTAAATCTTTATGGGAGCAGAAAGCCTCATCTTTCTCCCATAGAGCGGCTGGTGGGTTTGAACTGCTGACTTTGCGGTTAGCCATGCAGTGCTTATCCTATTGCCACTAGGGCTCCTTGGTCAGTGTACAGTCATCCTGAAATGAGACTTTGTAATAAGAATACAGGCTAAAGAGTATCAAATTATATAATAAATAATAACTGAAAGCAATGAAAAATAATCATAAAGACGACTCGTTTCAACAGTTATCTATCAAATACACAAATCACTCTCTTAATCATTATTACACAGTCCTCTCTGAACGTTACTACTCCGAGCTGGGAGAAGTTTTTCCAATTACTGCTCCTCTTCAGTACACATGCATCAATACCCGTGTGTCACAATGTACTGGGGACATCCTCACTGCAACACTTCAAGCCAGCCTGCTGGTGAGGAAGAGGCCAGACAGCTGGGTTCAGAGGCACCACGGCATGCTACCTTTTATCAGCGTGTTCACTGACAGCTTGTTAACAAGGTGTTCTATATACTTCATGCAACACTCATCCTCCCTCCTAGTCTTCTGTTTCCTTTCATTTTTCTTTTCTGTTTCCTTTTTAATTCTCTTCCTGCCAACTTTGTCTGCACAGTGCTTTTCTTCCTCTCTTCACTCTGCCAGCAGTTTCATGGGTCTACTCTCTCTAATTTCTTAGGACTTGAAGATTTTATTGAGTGAAGAGCTTTATTATCTGCTTTAGAAGAAAGTGGGCATAGAGAAGGTCTGGAAGAACACCTTCTGAATTCCATAGTAGGAAACAAAAGGATATGATGGCAGAGTGGGCATGCTGGGAGGTGACGTAGGGAGTTTTCCCTTTTTACATTATGTAACTTTTGCAGTGCTTCAATTTTAATAAAATTTTAATTAAAACATTTAAGTCAGAAATTAGGAAAAAAAGATAATCTGCATATACTGAAATGTAAAGATGCTTATCACTAATATTTTATTGGAAAACAGAAGAGGCTGCAGAACAGCATAGGCCCATTGATGTAAAACAGAACATGTGGTAAACTATAGAGCCATACCCACAAATAGGTCCCTAGTCCTGTTGTCAGTCTCCTAGAGCTTCACATAAATGTCTGAAACAATGGATTTTGTACTTCATACAAATTCCAGATTGCTTTTTCATACAAAAAGTCATTATTTTGATAACCCACTGACATCAACTCAATTCTGACTCATGCTGCTGTTGTTAAATACGATCGAGACAGTTCTGACTCATAGTGATCCTGTGTAGGGTTTCCAAGGAGCAGTTGGTGAGCTTCAACCGCCAACCTTGTGGTTCAAATTGCCCTTGTAGTTCAGCGCATTAACCCACAGCGCCACACCAGGACTCTTTGTAAAGAATTTCAGAAGCTATAAATCTTTACGGAAGCGACTGGAACGACTAGGGCGTTTTGAACTGCCAACTGTGAACTTAGCAGTCCTGCGCTTATCCTAGAGTGACACCAGGATTCCTATTCAGATAACAAAGAGAATTTAATAAGATAACACTGAGCATTTATCCTAATGTTCTCCATAGTTCAGAAGACTTCAAAGGCTTAACAACAGGTTCAAACTTAACAGAACTGATGTTAAAAAGCACATGATGTCAGTAAGGAACGTACTGGGCGGAGCAGTTATCTATCACCTGGGAAATGGGCGCAATATACATGGAAAGAAGTAACCAACAAGCTTGTGTTTTCATTTTCATAAGAAAATGTTTTTTATACACACACCCCTCTCCCAGACAAGATGATGTAATTTCTGGTAGGTACAAAGAAGGATGTAAAATTAAATTAATGTAATTCACTTAAAAAAAAAAAAAAAAAGTCAGTCTGAAGTAAATATAATGAAAGATATGCAGCCATGCACACCGTTTCTATGGCCCAATTCCCTCTTTAGCATCTCAGTGTGAATTTGGAGAATATTTGTTACACTATCATACTGGGAGCATGAGCATCTAAGATTGTCCGTCCATTCAAAAGGCCTAAACATATAAATCTAGACCAGAAAATTCAATTTCTTAAATCAATCCTGGTCTAAAGAAAACACAAAAATGGCAGGTTAATTTCAGAGTTCCTTACCACAAACAGATTGAGCATAATACTTTTATACATTTATACTGAATAACCTCTGTTTACAGCAATGCTATCCAATAGAAATACAGTCAAGCCACACAGGTAATTTAAAGGCGCTCTGGTAGTATAGGGGTCACGAGTCGGGCCGCTAACCTCAAGGTTCGAAACTACCAGCTGTTCTGTAGAAGAAAGATGAGGCTTTCTGCTCCCGTAAAGATTTGCAGCCTTGGAAACCCTATGCAGGGTTGCTATGAGTCAGAACTGACTCCACAACACACCATCACCACCACCATCAATAGGAGTCATGGTGTGGAGCTGTGGGTTAATGCACTGGACTGCAAAGTCAGTTTGAACAGCAAGGTTGGCGATTCAAACTCACCAGATGCTCCTTGGAAATGCTATACAGGGTTGCTACGGGTCGGAACCGACTCAACGACACTTGACAACAAAAATAGTCACGTTTAAAAAACAAAGTACACGTACAATAAAAGTCAAATTCAACAAAATAAGTGATACAAGAGTTAAAGTACAGGACCCTATCTAGAGAAGTAGCGACACCAGAGATGGAGGCAGAGACGATGAAGTGGAGATATGGAGCGGCAGAGGACTCTGGACTCAGGGAGGGAGAAGGGCTGTGTGCTGGTGGCCAGGTGACAGGCTTGAGGGATGTCCAGTTTGGTCTTTTGAAATATGTTCCTGAGTGCTTCAGTGTACATCCAAAAATAAAAAATAAAATAAAATAACAGGGGGAATGAAAGCAAATGCTGTTGAATGATGATGCACGGAGGGGATTGTAATTATTGCAATGAAACAAAATATGATAGGATGAACATAAAGCTGATGTTCTCCCATGTAAACTATCACTGAATTCACACACAAAAAAAACTTAAAAAAAAAAAAACACAGAGAAAATATTAACCATAGAAAAAGAGTTAAAAGCAAAATGCAATTTTATCAAAAGAACTCACTTGCTTAATGAAAAAACAAAGAAGTCTACTACACTGTTTCAGTTTTTCAATTTAAATTGACTAAACATTTTTTTTTAATTAAAAGCTATCTCACACTAACTATTTCAAGTGCTCACTAGCTCCACATGGCAATGGCTACCTTACTGGGCAGCAAAGTCTAAAAGACTGCTATAGGCAACCTAACTTGCTGATACTTCTCTACGACTTACAACTCAGTGTGGTACATGGATCAGTACCTAGGCATAGCTAAGAGATTGTTAAGACTGTGTGCCCCAAGACCTACAGAATGCAAATCCAAATCCAAACAAGGGCCGCGAGGCACTGCCTAGTTCTGTGTGCTTCTGTACTGGTGTGAGGGAGAAAGATGAAGCTGTGTGCTCCTGCAAAGCTCTCCAGCCTTGGAAAGCCTCCACAGGGCACTATGAGCAGGAACCAACTTACTTACTGGTAACGACTCAGCCGGCACTCAGGACTGTAACTGTTGTTGTTGCTGTTAAGTAACGTCCAGTCGGTTTCAACTCAGAGCGACCCTGTCTGCACAGGGTTTCTGAGGCTATAAATCTTCGCTAGACCTGAAAACCTCACCTTTTTCCCACAGAGGAGTGGGTGGGCTCAAACCGCCAACCTTGTGGTTTGCAGTCCAATGCTTACCCTACAAAGCCACAGGGCTTCCTTAACTAGGCACACAAAATGATAGGAATTACATAAAACATGTATAATGTTGAGATTTAACTATAAACTAATCTTATACTTTTGATAATTCAAATTAAGCAAACTATAAAGTATCTATTTAGTTATGTTATAGAGGAGAAAAGAGACTTCCTCTTCAAATATGTATTATAGAGACTCTGTATTAAATCTTAAGGAATGCTGGTATGTGGCTGTAGAATACGCATTGAACTGCTAACCACAAGGTCAGCAATTCAAACCCAACAGCCACTCCACAGAGGGAAAATAAGGCTTTCTGCTCCCATAAAGATTTATAGCTTCAGAAACCCTATCAGGATAGCTATTAACAGGAGTCCACGTGAGACCAGTGAGCTCTGTTTGGTTTGTAAAGTCTGAAACAGGAGTAAGAACTAGCGCTGTGGGCTAATGCCTCAGACTACAAAGTTGTTTGAACTGAGAGGTCGGTGGTTCAAGCTCACCAGGTGCTCCTTGGAAACCCTATACAGGGTTGCTATGGGTCAGAATTGACTCAATGGCACTTACCAACAACAACAAGACAACACAGATCACCCAGGTGAGGGAACTCACAGACGCCATGATGAATTTCCAAAGTTCTACCTCCTCAAGGAAGGAGCCCTGCTAGCGCAGTGGTTACGAATCAGGCTGCTAACCTCAAGGTCGGCAGTTCGAAACTACCAGTTGCTTCGCAGAAGAAAGATGAGGCTTTCTGCTCCCATAAAGACCTGCAGCCTCAGAAACCCTGTGCAGAGTCACTATGAGTCAGAACCGACTCCACAGTACTTAACACCACCACCTCCTCTCAAGGTGGCCTTCTATAGGGCACAGAGACCGGAGGAATCTCCTCCCACAATCAAGACTGATGGTGGCAATGAGTCAGGGATGCATGCTGGGACTACGGAAGGAGGGTAGGACCACTATAGATAAGAAAGCTCAGAGAGACTACCTCTGAGACTCTGGGATATGACTTCACGACCAGGCGACCATTACCGGGTACGCCCAGGTCTAGCTTGGGGTTCAAGACCCACTTTCAAATAGACCGTGCTTCTAACTCTGACAGTTCGGCTGTGAGACATGCAGGAGGTACTCAAGAAAAACTGGCGTCTGAACACTTAACTCTAGGCACAAGACGAAATTACATTGTAAATGCATGAAAATGTATGAAACACCCACCTCGGCTGGGTGCCAGGGGGTTTAAAGGACGATAAACAGATCGAGGCCTGAAAACAAAGCACAAAAACAAAACATAAAATGACATGACTTATATCTTTTTGCCAACAGAAAAAAAAAATACTCCCTGCCTCCCCTCCCCTTATTCATTCACCCTTCTTCCCCCTCAATTACTTGAAACAGTTTTCTTCATAGATGCTGTTCCACACTCTCCACGCAGACGCTCCCTTATATCCAGTGTAACGCTCTGGGTTCAGCAACAGGTCTACATACTGAGCAGCTGGAGATCTCTCATCTGACAAGAAATAATTCATGACAATCATCAATGTTCCACCACTGAACTCAAATTCAATGTTACAAAGCAAACACGACTACCCAAAGGTTACAGGAAGTCTATGCTCTTTAAAGCAATTTCCAGCTAAAATGGTAAAAGTAGTCAGTACACTATGACTATACTTGACCAAGGATTTATAATAACTTGGACAGGTGACTTAAGTGGGGAAAATGACCCCTTCTTTTCCTGTGGATATATGCAGTGCTTGTTTAATTAACATAGCTTTCCTTATTAGAGGCATTAGTCATATCCCAAGTTTTCACCACCCAGGATTGAAACAATCTAACAGAATAATACAAAAATCTAACAGAATAATACAACAATCTAACAGAATAATTTGTTTAAATATTTTATGTGATTATTTTTCTGTAAGTATAAACCTACCTGAAAACATGCTTAGAAACATTATGTTAACACATATTATACTACAAACATAGATTTGCTTGCTACTCAGAATTATCATGTAATCTAAGATTAATTGGCTCAACTTTGTGATTTAAAATTGATGTTTCACAGAAGTTACCCATGCCCATGCTCTACTAAAAAAAAATGAAAAAAAAAACCCAACCATGTTGTTAATTTAGGGCTATTCCTCAAACACTTGCGAAAACATTTCCAATTAAGTAATCATTGTCTATGTTGAAACCCAAATGAGTATTAGATCGTTACTATTTGCACAGCACTGTAACAGAGATTTCTGAAGAATACAAAAGATAAATAAAAATGATCTTAATTACTGAGGCTCACATGGTGAGCTTTAATAATTGAGGGGAAAAACATGCTTTTGCAACTAAAGAAAAACCGTGATGACAATGCTACACACACACACACACACACACACACACACACACGATCATAATACATGTGAGTCCAACTTCCCCAGGCATGGGCACACACACCTTTATAGGCTCACTTCCTGTTGGTGTCACAAGAGGAAATCCGGAGGACACAGGCACCTCATACGGTCATGAGCATTCCTCTGCCTTTCATGAGCTGGCTGGTTGTCAGTCTACAATCTTCACTAGACATTCAGTGACAGATTGGAAATATCCACTGTCATAAGCATGAATGTATAGTGCTGACGAAGGCCTCCCCACAGTTCATTGGAACCTTTATGAGGCAAGAAAAGTACAGAGTATTTCCATTGGATCAAAGTCCCTAATTCTGGGAATTCACCAAATCGAACTGTTTTTAAACTCCTGGTGTGGTGCTGAGGGTTAATGCACTGGACTGCAAGGTTGGTGTGAACAGAAAAGTCGGCAATTCAAGCTCATCAGCTGCTCCTTATAAACCCTATTCAGGGTCGTTATGAATCGGATTAGACTCCATGGCACTTAACAACAACAATAACAAGTATACCACTTTTCCCAACTGAATTTTCTTTTCACTTCCAAAATTCAATATTCATGTTAAGGAGAGGCTGCACTGCATTCTCTAGGCTGTTGGATAGTCCTCCCTGCTCTTAACTCATAACAGAATTTCTTAAAATATAATGGCAGCACTGGCTTTCTGCTTGTGGTTGTTGGTAAAAAGTTACATTATGGACTCAGTATTGACCTATAGACCTATGTCACCAACTCTACCCCAAATTACTACTATAGTTCACTATGAAAACATGACAAGTAAGTCCAATGCCTGAGACTCTATAGTTTACATTTCACGTAACTTTGACATACCAGTTTAAAACTGCTGATTTACACAATATTTTAAATTTCTAAATTAACATGTTGTAAGAAGAAAAATAAAACCCCAAAATCTATTGATTATTAACTAATCGCTTTATTCAGCAAACTTTTACTGAGCATCTACTATTTACAGGCACTGCCATAAGCACTGGGGATACAGAAGGGAACCCCAAACACCAAGCACTTGTTCTGAAAAAGCCCACAACATAGTTCGAGAAGACAAACAACAACCAGATAAACTAAATAACATTCCATACATTGTCACGTAATTTTAAGTGTTCGCAGGGGAAAAAAATCCCAACAGTCAAAGGGAGAGAGAATGATAGTGGTTACTGTTTTATATTGGGAGACAAGAACAGGCTTCTCTGATGAGGTGATATTTAAGCAGAACTCTGAAAGAAGGGAAAAAGCAAGCCACACATTAAAAACAATAACAAAAAAAACCCCACAAAAAACAGAATGGGGCAGAGGAAGCAACTTAACTGAAAGGATATTAAATGTTAAATTATTTAAGGACCTATTATTTGATCTATAGCGATCATCTTCCTTTCAGACAAAGACAATACCAACAACCGAACAGCAGGAAGCAGGGCAGTGTGAATATATTCCCTCATAACTTGGGGTAAATAGTCTTTAGATTTATTTTTAATCCGCTGAATCTAGATGACAGAAATAACTTGACAATGACTCTACCACTATCCTGGCAATAATTTAAAAAAATGATCAATACTTTTTAAAATTATAGGTATAAATCATTGGAAAATAAATGAACTTCAGCACTCAGAAAAGTAGAGGTAATCTAATTAGTTACTTGATTGTTTATGTATAGTAATTACATAGAATAATAAAAATGATCAATTATTTAAATTGTATATTCCTAACAACCTTTAAGGATCATTTTACATAAATTCTTATTGGACATCTCTTCCACTCTTACAATTTACAAAGCCAATGTTAAAAAAAATAGTTAACACTATTTATATAACTGTCAAGTACTCTATCACATCAACTGAATTATAGCAAGTGATCCCTTACAACTGAGTAATATTATCTATTGAAAATATGTTCACGAAAACAATAATACATTTTTACAGAAATGATTTTTTAGTCAGAAAATTGACTACATAGTCACTACTAAAAGTCATTTATTTTAATGAAAAAAGTATGCACTATGAGAAGCTGGAAACAAGAGATTTTGAGTGTTAAGCACCAAATATAATTAGACTGATCGCCAATGATCAAACGAAAGAGTATTAAGAAGCAATACAGAGACTTAGCTTAGATATGTTTTGCTTTGATAAAACCTTTGCCAGCTCTAAATATCACAATGGGGCTTTTTGTTAATTGTTCTTTATTATATCCAGCTATCCAAAGGCATTTTAAAAATAGCCTTGCTAAAACCACAGAAACCATCGTAATAACATTCCCAATGACCACAATCTTCTTAATTTACTCTGAGTCGGCACTGTGGTAACTTCCTCCATTACAGCCTGAATTCGTAGCAGAATTCTACACCTTAATCTTTTTTAAAACTATTAAAAAGCAGTACAATTACTCTAGATGTTTTAAAAGTTCTGTTTCCAACTATGCCTTGCTTGAATCCCAAATTTCTTTCTACCACCAAAAATAAAACGAGAGCCAGGTAAAAGTTGAAGGATGCCAAAGGAATGATTTAAGTATATTCAGTACAATTATTTGGGAACATTATCCTATAGATCAAAATTTTGAGCACTGCAATATAATTAGAATTGTAATCTAATTGGATTCTTCCCTGATAGCTTACAGGTACTCTACTAACAGTGTGGACTCTTGGTGTGGCACTGTAGGATCAGCACTGGACTGAGAACCACAAGGTAGGCAGTTCACACCCACCTGCTGCTCCTTGGAAACCCTTTACAGGGCCGTTATGAGTAGGAGCCAACTAGACAACACTTAGTGACTACTCCTACTAACAGTGGCCATGTCTGTGAAGGAGGCTCTTGGAAGGTGGAAAGTGGAGAAATGAAATTAGAGTCCTCCCCAACCATGAAGGCATCTTTAGGTTCATTTGTAGAGACCGCTAGCAAATTTCAGTGTGAAGATTTTTTTTTTCCCCCCACAGATTTATTACTAAGTGGCTTGAATTGAAGGTCCACAGGAAATGGTTTGTCACAGTGGAAAAGAATACAGGTTTTCGTTTCAGTAAGATCTGGGATTAAATCTTGGCTCGGCCTCTTACTACTGGTGATCTTGGGCAAGTTATCGAGTCTTACTGAGACTCAGTTTCTTCAGGTATAAAGAATATACATCTACTAAAGTAGCAGTACAATTTAGAAATAATATATTTAAAGCACTTAGTGCAGAGACTGGAATGTAGGTTTTCAATAAATACCATTATGAAAAAAGATCCACACAGCAAAATCCAGTGTATTAAAGCTATAAAAGACTATATTTCCACTGTTTTCAATGTCTTGCAAAAAAGGGTTAAAGTTAAAATAATTTAATTATAATAGTTAATTTTATTACCATCAAGTTCACAGAAGTGATCCTGTGAATCATCATATCTCGCCCAGTCAATGAATGCTTCTTTGCTTTGATTACTATGGGAAGCAGGAATAAAAAAAGAAAATGATTAAATGTGGAGCTGAAAAATTAAAGTTTTTATTCTAGTGTAATTTTAAAAAAGATATCTGAGGTAATTTCTTTATTAATTAGATGGTGTAAAAAATTCAGTTGTCAGTGGTTACATGAAAAGATCATGAAGACAAATTATATAAAAAAATATAAAACTAAAACTCCATGTAAGATTTATATTTCCTAGCTCCACTGAAAGAACTATTAGCACCAGTTCAATAATGAGTACTTTGATTAGAAAACTAATTACAAATGCATATAACATATAAACAAAAGATCAAACTGGCCTTTTGAATAGACTAAGAATTTATAGTAAAATATATATTTATTTCCCTGAGATGGATCCTAAATTTATCTTCAGAATTCTTTGATTTAAATTGCTTCTATCCTTCTAGGACTGCTCATCTAATGTGGTTATTTACTGGTATCATCAAAGTCACTTTAACATACATCTTACACACGAATATTTTGTTCTGCTGTGGACAGGGTCACTATGGGTCACAACTGACTCAATGGACCTAACAACAACAATTTTGCATTTTAAAAAAAATCTACGTTCAGAATTGGAAAACTGATAAGGGACAACTATATTCATTCAAACAAATGTGAGCTACATTGACTATAACCAATAATAAATTTGTGTTGTCTTGAAATCTATGCTGGCAACATCTATCAGAGAAGTATTCTTTATTCACTGTAAAAAAGGAGATAAACAGGGTAACAACGCAAGGCTGTCCGTATGCTAAATATAAATCATGTGGTACTTTCACAGCCAAGAACTTGACGTTTGAGAAATTGCTACATAATATTTTTTTCAAGTTTATAAACCTGACTGTACTATATGACCTTTATCAATAAATGTTTCTAATTAAATTTACCATACAACTTTTTTCTACTATGGGAATATTTAAATTTTTCTGAGAGAAAAGGATGAGACTTTTTGGTTCCATAAAGATTTACAACCTTGGAAACCTATACAGGGTCGCTGTCGGTGGGAACCAAGATGGTAGCACACAGCCACCATCATGGCAATATATAGGAACACTGACAGTGTAGTGGATTATGTGCTGGGCTGTTAACTGCAAGGTCAGCAGTTCAAACCTACCAGCTGTTCCATGGGAGAAAGGGGAGGCTTTCTGTGCCCTAAAGATTTATAGCCTCGAAAACCCTACACAGGGTCACTATGAATCATAAATATAGAGAAACAGTTATAAACATCCACCACTGGTCTGTCACTTTGTCTTTCTGTGAAAGCTGTGCCACTAGTAGTTTAAATACCAGCACGGTCACCTGGTGGACAACTTTCAACTGAGTTTCCAAACTAAGACTGACAGAGAAGGAGGAGAAGCGAACTACTTCTGAATGTTTAACCTGTTGAACAGCAGTGAAGCACTGTTAGATACCACCAGAATATTGAATATTAAAAGAATATGAGGAGGCGGGGCTTGCTGACGGACAGGGTAGAGGTGCAGTGAAGTTCTCAGTCAGCAATACCACAGAATACCAGGCAAAGCGGGTTCAGGGCAAAGCTCCAAAACTCAGAACCACATATCTAGGAATGTTTAGAAATTTTGAAGGCTTATAGCTAGTGGAACTTGCAGCGGAAGCAAGAAATTTCGTACTTTAGAATCCGCCGGGCTCAGCGGCCTGGAGCCAGCAGCTTGGGCAAGACCAAACAGGGAAGCAAGCAGACCAGCCAAGGAATAGCGCCGTGGGAACCTCGAAGCAAACTGGACAACATACATTCATGGTTTTGCTTTGCTCTGATTTTATTTATTTCAGTATGTGTTCATTGTCCCCTCCCGCTCAGTGTTTGTGCACCTCCATTCTGGTGACTAGAGGAGGGGTGCCTAAGCTAGTGGACATCCCCCCCCCC